TGCTGCTGAAGCTTCTGCAGCTTCTGGAGCTCTTGCTGCTTGCTTCTGCAGCGGGGGGCCCGGAGCAGCACAGCTGCAGCAGAGAAGACACCGGGGGCGGCAGTCCTTAAGCGGGCGCCGCAGTTGCTGCGCATTGAGCAGTAAAGGTATTAATCCATTGCTGCTGCTGCTGTCGTTGCTGCGGTTGTTGCTGCTGCTCTTGCTGCAGCGACTGCAGCAGCTGCAGCCGCTGCTGGGGCCAGGGGGCCAGGAGACAGCGCCGCTGCTCTGCAGCAAGAAGACACACGGGGCCCCCCCGGGGGCCCCTGGAGCTCAAGGGGGAAATGCTAGGCCTTGTAGCCTTTGAAGTTAGAATTAAAATGCAGAAAAGGGGCCAAAGCCTTGGAGTGTTCAGCTGCTGCTGCTGCTGCTGCAGCGGCGCCAGCGGCGGCGGCGGCTATCGCTGTGTGTCGATGCTGACCGCCTGTGGCAGTACCTGCAGCGCCAGCAGCAGCAGCAGCAGCAAGGAGCGTTGCTGCTGCTAAACAGAAGCAACAGGCTCTAACAGATGTATTACTGCTATTCTCAAGCCTCTGAGGTGGCTGCTGTTGTAGGCGCAGCGGCGCAGCAGCAGCAGCAGCAGCAGCAAGGGCACTTGCTGCTGCTGCTGGCCAGACGGTGCCGCTGCTGAGGGGCCCTGAAGGAGCTGCTGCCGCTGCTGCTTCTGGGGCCGCAGCAACAGATTTAATGAATTTTAGAAATTATAGGCTCACCGTATAGATATTTCTTATTTTTGGAGGCTCTGCTGCTGCTGCTGCTGCCGCTGCCTCTTCCTCCCCCTGGCCTTGCTGGCAGCGTGAGCCGCAGGAGCAGCTCCGTCCGCAGCCGCAGCAGCAGCGGCGCAGCACCGGGGAAGCACACTGCTGCTCTGTTTTTGCTGCGTCTTCTGCTGCTGTTGCTGCTGCTGCTGCAGCTGCTGCTGCTGCAGCACCGGCGGGAGAGGCCGCAGCGCTCTTTGGGTGACCCTCGCGTTAGCCGTGACCTTCGAGCCCCAAGGCAGCAGCAAAGAGCTCAGGGGGCCCTTCCTGAGGCCACAGCGCTGCAGCTGGCAGGGATATTGCTGCGCTCTTGCCTCCTTGCTGCTGCTGCTGCTGCTGCAGCTGCTGCAGCCGCTCCGCAAGTCCCCAAGCCAGTGCGGTGAGCTGGGGTTTAGGTCTGGGGTTTAGGGGTGGAGGGGCTGGGGCTTGTGGCCTGAATATAGTTTGCTGCAGTGGTCTTTGCTTCTGTGTTGCGGCCGCAGGGGCATCAGTTGCAGCAGCAGCAGCAGCAGCAGCAGCAGCTGATGGGGCAGGCGCAGTCGGGGGGGCCCCGAGAGGGTCTGGCAGCAGAAGAGGCGAGCTTTGTGCTGCGCCTTGCACAAGAGACGCTCCAGGCTGGGAGTCAGGATGCTGCAGCAACAGCAGCAGCAACAGCAGCAGCAACAGCAGCACCAACGGCAGCAGCAACGGCAGCTGCAACACCGGCAGCAACGCCAGCAGCAGCAACCGCGCCTCTAACGGGAGACACAGCAGCAGCAGCAGCAGCAAGGCTTTTAGAGACCTCCCTTTTAACTATTCAAGCAGCAGCACCTGCAGCAGCAGCTGAGGGCGGCGCGGCAGCAGCAGAGGCAGCAGCACAGCCCAGTGCTGCTCCTTCGGGCGAAGCAGCAGCGCCGGCAGCCCCAGCTGCCACAACAGCTGCAGCAGCAGTACCAGCAGCAGCAGCAGCAGCAGCACCAACTGCAGCACCAGGAGAAACCGCAGCCGCAGATAAAAAGGGAGACCAGGTAGAGGAAATACACCGAGAGCTTATCTGCTGCGTCTGCTGCGACTTGCTGCAGAAGCCCGTTTTGCTGCAGTGCGGTACGGTGCTGCTGTTGCTGCTGCTGTTGCTGCTGTTGCTGCTGCTGTTGCGTTACAGTCGCAGCCGTTGCTCTCAACGGAGTGCCTCAGAGGTTGCTGCTGCGGCCTCCTCTTGCTGCTTTGCCGTGCTGCTGCTGCTGCTGCTGCTGCTGCTGCGGTTTCTTTCACTGCGGCGCGCTGCGCTCGAGGCTGCATCCCGCGTTTGCTGCTGCCGCTGCTGCCGCTGCTGCTGCTGCTGCTGCTGCTGCTGCAGGCCACTTGTTTTGCTTCTGGTGCGCGTACCGGTCGATGAACATCTACGACATTTCTTTTTGTCCTTTATGTCGATCTGCTTTTTCTTCTTTGCCTCCGGTGTGTCGGCCGGTGCACCTGTACGTACACCTCAAGTACCCAGCAGCAGCAGCAAGAAGAGACCAGGAAGTGGCAGAATTTGAAAAAGATAAATCTTTTAAAAGTCCTCCCCACTTTCTGATAGCCCGGGGCCCCCCAGGTGCTGCCACGGACTCGCTGCCCCTCAGCAGCAAAACTTTGCTGCTGCTGCTGCACAGAGAGGCCCCCCAGCTGCTGCCGCTGCACCTCACAGTTGACGTTCGCGTTGCTGCTGCAGCAGCAAAGGCGGACGAGCTCTGGGCGCGCGCGCAGCAGGGGCCCCCCCGCCCCCCGGCCCCAGCAGCAGCAGCAGCAGCAGCAGCAGCAGCAGCAGCAGCATGGGAGGACGAAGAAGTGCCCAGCGACACCGATGAGGGGCCCCTCAACGTGGGCCCCGTCTGGAGAAGGGGGCCCCCCCCCCCGGCCCTCAGCAGAAACAGAGGAGATAATCCTGCGGAAGAAATGGAAACAGATGAAGAGGTTTTGCCGGACTTCAGCAGAGACCCCGAGCCCGTGGCTGCGCCGCTGCCGCTGCTGCAGGGGCCCAGCAGCAGGCACCGCCTGCTGCTGCAGCCGCAGCAGCAGCAGCAGCAGCAGCCGCAGCAGCAGCAGCAGCCGCCGCAGCAGCAGCAGCAGCAGCCGCAGGCAGCCCCGGACGCTGCCGTGGACGCGGCTAGGGGAGCCTCCGAAGAGGCGCAGACGGCCAGCGAGAGGGCTGCTGCTGCTGCTGCTGCTGCTGTTGTTGCTGCTGCTGCTGTTCCCGTTCCCCGAGACAGCCGAGAACCCTCAAGCGCTCTTGATGACCCAGAAGAGGTACTTCTGCATGCATGCACTCCGGGTGTAGCTACACCACACTGCCCCACAGCCCCTGCCCCCCCCCCTGTGGGGTCCCTGTGGGGCCCCTGTGGGGCCCCTGTGGGGCCCTTTGTGGGGCCCCTGTGGGGCCCTTGTGGGGCCCCTGTGGGGCCCTTGGTGGGGCCCCTGTGGGGCCCCAGTGGGGCCCCTGTGGGGCCCTTTGTGGGGCCCCTGTGGGGCCCCAGTGGGGCCTCGTGGCCATTAAATGAAGCAGTTGGGTCGGGCGCGTTGCTGGTGACTTGCTGCTGCTAGTTGGCTTGTGGCAGTTCAAGTTTGCTGCTGCTAGCTGGCTCGTGGCAGCTTTTGTTTGCTGCTGCTGGGGTGTACGTACAGCTGGAGGGCGCGCTGCTGCGGCCGTGGCTGCTGGAGCCCGAGGTGTTCGTACACTACGGAGTGATTTGCCACATTTGCGGCCAGCTGCCGATTGTGGGGCCGCGCTTCAAGTGTCTGGACTGCTGGGCAGCAGCAGCAGCAAACTTCGACTTGTGCGGCAAGTGCAGGGCCACTGCAGCAGCAAAGCCCCCGCGCTTCCACTCCCACCACGCGTGAGCCGCCCCTCCTGCTGCTGCTGCAGCGGCGGCTGCTGCTGCTGCTGTTCTCCCTGGGGCTGCTCTTGCTGCTGCTGCTGCTCTTGCTGCTGCTGCGGCTGCTGTGCTGCTGCTCTTGCTGCTGCTGCAGCTGTCGTCGCCGCCGCGACAAGTGCCGTTGCAGCTGTCGTTTCTGCTGTTGCTGTTGCTGCTGCTGCTGCTGCTGCTACTGAATCTGCTGCCCTGCGGTCGCGTTCATGTGCTGCGCTGCTGCAGCGGCAGCCACCGGCTGCTGCTGGTGGAGCCTTCGCGGGCGGACTGGTGGGTGCAGAGCCTGAACAAGATGAAGCGCATGCACCCTGAACTGTCTGTGTAAGCTTGCAGGGACTTCATTGCTGCTGCTGCTGCTGCTGCTGCAGTGGCTGCTGCTGCTGCTGCAGTTGCTGCTGCTGCTGCAGTTGCTGTTGCTGCTGCTGTTGCTGTTGCTGCTGCTGCTGCTGCTGCTGCTGCTGCTGCTTGCGTGGCTGCTGCTGCGGGGCTTTCCGTTTTCTGCTCTTCGCCTGCTGCGGCTCGCCAGCCTCGCCGCGCTGCTGTTCCCGTTGCGCTGCTGCTGGGCGCTGATGGCCCCTGTGCTGCTGCTGCTGTTTGTGTCTGCTGCTGCCTCTGTTTGCTGCTTTGCTGCTGCTGGCGATTGTTTCCTTGGGATTCATCCGCGGCGGTTCTTTTTTGCTGTTTCCTTGCCCTTTTACCTGCTGCTGCTATCTTACTGCGGCGCTTTGCCTGCTGCTGCTTGCTGCACCTAGCTGCTGCTTGCTGCTGCTTGCTGCTGCTCGCTGCTGCTTCTACTATCCGGCTTCTGCTGCTCTGACTTTCCCCGGGCTTTTTCGTTTGTCATATTTTTGGCCTGAGCCGTTCTTGTCTTTGGATCATGGTGGGTTGGTTGCCCTTGCTGCTGCTGCTGCTCTTGCTGCTGCTGCTGCTGTTGCAGCAACCAAATACTGCAATGGATTTTAATGCACTACCAAGACACGGCGCCTCACGAGACTCAGGCAATAGACTCTTGAGTGATGGCCGAATTGTGGCAGCAGCAGCAGCAGCAGCAGCAGCAGCGGCAAGTTGCCAGCAGCGGATCGAATGCGTGCAGCTTTTGCTTCTGCAGCAGCAGACCTTCTGTCTGGTGCTTCCTGGAAGTGCGGGTTATCAGGGGTATCCTGAATCTCCGAGGCAACAGCCCATGTTGCTGTTGCGGCAGCAGCAGCATTGTGGAGCGCTGCTGCTGCTGCTGTTGCTGCTGCAGCAGCAGCAACACTGATCATGTGGGCGCCAGCAAACTGACTCCTTTTGCCTTTGGGCGTTATTGCTCTTTTGCTGTCGAGTTGAAGAAGAGACAAACAGGCAGCAAACAAATAGAGGGAGCAGCACAGCAGCACAGCAGCACAGCAGCACAGCAGCAAAGCAGCAAAACAGCAAAACAGCACAGCAAACAAATAGAGGGAGCAGCACAGCAGCACAGCAGCACAGCAGCAAAGCAGCAAAACAGCACAGCAAACAAATAGAGGGAGCAGCACAGCAGCACAACAGCAAAGCAGCAAAGCAGCACAACAGCAAAGCAGCAAAGCAGCAAAGCAGCAAAGCAGCAAAGCAACAAAGAAGCAAGCAGCAGCAGACAGGTACGCTTCTTGCTTCTGTACCCCACAGGGGGCCCCCCGGGGTCTTAATGGGGCCTCTTTTGGCCCCAAAAGAGGCCCTAAAGGGGCCTCTTCTGGTCTTCTTGAGGCCCATCAGGGGCCCCTTTTGGGTACTTTTGGGGGCCCTTCTTAGGGGCCCCCAAGAATTGTTTTAGCTGCCGAGAAGGGGCCTTTAAAGACTGCAGCAGCGCAGCAAACTGCTGCAGCAAACTGCTGCTGCTACACCCAGGCTGCAGCAGCAAACTGCTGCTGGGAACAGAAACTGCAGTGCAGCAGCAGCAGCAGCGAAAGGGGCCCCAAAGGCCAGCCATAAGCAGCTTAAGACAGATATAGTTTAAACTGAAGGGCCCACCAAAGGTACCTGTTCATAGGGGGCCCCCAAAGGGCCCCTGGGAGCCCTTTGGGGGCCCCCAAAGGGCCCCAGGGGGCCCCCCAGCCATGCCCGGGGGCCCCTAAGGCCAGCGAGGGCCCCTAAGGGCCCCCGGCCCTCCGCAGCTTCCGCTGGTCCAAGAGGCGCGGCCCACGCTGCTGCTGCGCTGCTGCTGCGCTGCTGCTGCGCTGCTGCGGCGCTGCTGCTGCGCTGCTGCTACGAGGCCCTGGATGTACCCCAGCAGCATTTGCTGCTGTGGCTACATTGGGCCTCCATTAGTGCATGAAGCAGCAGAGGCCTCCCCAGCCAGTCCTATTGAAGCGCCCCTCTCAGGCCTGAGCCTGCAGCTAGCTACAGCTAGCCACAGCTAGCTGCAGCTAGCTGCAAGTAGCTGCAGATAACCACGGCTAGCTACAGCTGGCCACGGCTAGCTACAGATAGCCACAGCTTGCCGTAGGCAGCCACAGATAGCTGCAGATAGCCACGGGTAGCTGCAGCTAGCCACGGCTAGCTGCAGTTAGCCACAGCTAGCTGCAGCTAGCTGCCTCTCTTACCCAAATGCCCATGGGCGCCTGCATGCGCCTTAATGCCTAAGCAGCATGCAGCTTTGCCTGCAGCTCCCTGGCTTATATGTGGGTTTGTTAAATTATGGTTTAAATTGCTGCAGTGAGCTGCTGAGTACTGGGGAGCCTGGGGGTCGTTGCTGCAGCAGCAGCAGCAGCAGTCAGCAGGAGCAGCAGGAGCGGCAGCTCTGCTGCAGCAGCAGCTGCACCTCCGAGCACGGGCGGGAGCGCCCGCAGCTAGCTACAAGCCCGGTGTAGCAGCAGCACAGCAGCAGCAGCACAGCAGCAGCAGCACGGCAGCAGCTGCACAGCAGCAGCAGCGCAGCAGCAGCAGCGCAGCAGCAGTAGCAATGCTTCCGGCTCTTAGAAGGGCGTTATAGGGCTAAATAGAGCTAAAGAGAAACTCTTGGTCCCGCGGGGCTCGGCACTCCCCTTTTTAAGGCAGAAACTACAGCAGAGCTGCTGCTGCTGCTGCTGCTGCTGCTGCTGCAGCGGGAATGGCTTGTGAAGCCTTTTAAAGCTGCCAGCTTTTAGGCCTTTGAGGGGCCCCAAAGGGTCTTTTAAAGGGCCAAACTGGGCCTCTTGAAGAGCCCTTTGGGGCCTCCCAAAGGGCCTCCAGGGCCCCGCAAAGAGTACCATTTAGTGGCTGCCGAATGGCCCCCTGAAGTGGGTCTTTGGGGCCCCATAAGGGGCCCTTGGGGGCCCCCCAAGAGACCCCTATGGGGCCCCCTGATGGGCCATTTGGGGCCCCCTAATGGGCCCTTTGGGGCCTCCAAAAGGGCCTTTAAACCTCCTAATGAGGCCTTGGGGCCCTCTGGGGCTGCAGCGAGGGTTATCTCCCCAGGGGGCCCTTAGCTGGGGGTGCGGGGGGCCCCTGCAGCAGCAGGGGAGCAGCAGCTTGCTGCTGCTAGCTGCCAGCTCTAGACTTGCTTTTATTTCCAAGTCCCCAGCTTTTGCTGCTTCTGGTAAAGCCCGCAGCCTCTGAGGGCCCCCCAGAGGGCCCGGGCCCCCGAAACTACGGCACTTTTAGTGGGTAGAGGCGCAGTGAGGCGAGCTGCAGCAGCAGCAGCAGCTGCTGCTGCTGCAGCAGCTGCAGCAGCTGCAGCACGAGCCGGCTCGACCCCGGGCTGGGGGAGCTTCTGGCTGCAAGCTGCTGCCTAAACGCAGCTCTCTGTAGCTTGCTGTGGTTAGCTGCTGCTAGCTGTGGCTAGCTGTGGCTAGCTGCTGCAGTGCTTCTGCTGCAGCGAGTCTGGCACAGGGGACAAGCGGGGCTCTCGTGGCCAAGTGTACCCCGGGCCATTTTAGGGGAAATTTGGGGCTTTTCTCGCGCAGTTTTGGCCAATAAACTTCTAAAAAGAATAATTAATTAAAATCAGCAGCAGTTCAGTGGCTAATTCGACTAAATTGCGGCTAAGTCTTTTGTGGCCCCGCGTCGATCGCCCTGGGGGACTCAACAGGGAGGCTCGGCAGCAGACGAGCGAGCGGCTGCTGCTTGTGCAGCCCCAGACAGCCAAACAAGACAATAAAACAAAAACAAATTGCCTCGCAGCATATTTCCGTTGCTGCAGCAGCTGCTGCTGCTGCATCCGCTGCTGCTGCTGCTGCTGCTGCGGGAGCGGCGGTTCAGCTGGGTCGGCTGCAACGGGCGGCGCGGCGCGAGTACGCCGCTGTTTCTGCCGGGATCTGCAGCAAATAAATTTTTTTGGGGCAGATAATGATTAAAAATAAATAAATAAATAAAAAAGAATGCAAAAGAGAAGCAGCAGTGGGCCAAAGCTTCCCCGTTCGATGGCAGCAGCGGCTTCATGCGGGGAGCGTTCACAGCGGGTGCTCGCGGGCCGCGTTCCCGCTGCAGCAGCCGCTCAAACGCGCAGCTAAAAGCTGTTTCAACAAATTAAATAATAAAAATAAGATTGATTGAAAGGAAAGGGAAAACTTAGGGGAAAAGGGGCGCAGACGCGTGGCCGAACGGGTTGGCAGTGTGCAGCAGCAGCAGCAGCGGGCTGCTGCTGCTGCCGCTGCCGCTGCTGCTCGTGTGGGGTTGTACGCAGAGCGCGAGCGCCCCCGTCGGGAGCAGCAGAGATCTGTGCTGCTTTTACCCGCAGCTCAAGGCTAGCTGGAGACTTCGCAGAATCTCTGGGACTTGTTAGGCTTCCGGCGGTGCTGCAGCGGCGGGCTGCTGCTGCTGCCCCGCGGCCACCGGGTGTATGTACAGCTGGGGGTGTCTGTCTGGCCCCGCCACTGCCCGCTCCTCTCGCGCCCAAGACAGGCTCTCTTCTGTCTCAGCAGCAGCAGATAAAATGCGCAGGCAGCTGCGGCGAGGAGACAGGCCCCAGCAGCTCCCGGCACGGAGAAACAGCAGCAGCAGCAGCAGCAGCAGCAGCAGCAGCGCCGGCAGCAGCAGCAGCAGTAAACGCAGCAGCAGCCCCCGCAGCACGCTCTGAGCTCAGCAGCACATTCAAGGCCCCTCGGAATGTCCCGGGAGCCTTTCTAAACAGCAGCGCGCAAGAGCCCACAGCAGCAGCGGGCTGGCCGCTGCTGCTGCTGCTGCTGCTGCTATTTGTGCAGCTTTCTACCTGCGCCGCAGCTGCTGCTGCGGACACAGGCAGCAGCAGCAGCTTAGACTGCCCCCCGTCCCTTTTTGTTTCTTTTTTATTTGCTGCGGGGCCAGTACGCCCGCAGGGGGACACGCATTGGAAGCAGCGCCGCCATCGCAGCAGCAGCAGCAGCAGCAGCAGCAGCAGCAGCGGCTCTGCGCAGCAGCAGCAGCCACGTCAGCAGCTGCTTAGAGACTTCACAGTGACAATGTCGCAGCAGCTGCGCCAGCAGAGATACGTGCGCGCAGTAGAGCACGTGCAGCAGCCCGCATCAGCAGCAGCAGCAGCGCTCTGCAGCAGCAGCAGCAGCAGCAGCAGCAGCAGCACGGAGTCGCGGAAGCAACGGCAGTAGGGGTGGTGTCTCCACTCGCCGATGAAGTATCGAACAATTTCCGTCCCGTCGGCCCTGGGGCCGCCTCCGCAGCAGCAGCAGCAGCAGCAGCAGCAGCAGCAGGAGCTGCTGCGGCTGCTCCTGGCTGCTGCTGATGGCGCTGCACGCTTGCCCGTCTCTTCCCAAGTGCCTGTGCTGCAGGAAGGGTCAGGCGCAGCAGCAGCAGCTGCTGCTGCTGCAGAGGCGCTGCTGCCGTGTACCGACGCCCTAGAGTGGCAGCAGCAGCGGCTGCTGCCCCCACCGCAGCTGCTGCAGCAGCAGCAGCAGCAGCAGCAGCAGCCGAGGACCAAGAGGCCGCAGCACCCCTGCGGGCTCTACTGGCCCAAAGACACGCGCATTTCTCCTCATGTTGCTGCTGCTTCTTTGTGTCTGCTGCGGGGGATTTGTGAGAAGGCAGCAGACGCAGTGGAGGCGCTGCTGTCAACTGAAGCAGCAGCACTGCCGCAGCAGCAGCAGCAGCAGCTGCTGCTGCTGCAGCAGCGGGGGCACGAGCTGCTCGCCCAGGCGCTCTCCAGCTCCTCCTGCTTGTTTGCTGCTCAGACGCTGCGGCGCTGCATCATGAGGCCTGCAGCAATTCACTGTTTTTCGAGTAGAAGCAGCAGCAGCAGCAGCAGCAGCAGCTGCAGCACGACAGGTAGCAGCGCCTTGGCGGCTGCTGCTGCTACCTGCCCAGCAGCAGCCGCCGCGGCGACGCTGCGAGAGGCAGCAGCCGCTGCTGCTGCTGCTGCTGCCGGCGGGGACCACCTGCAGCAGCAGACCTTCAGGTGGGTGTCTCGCGAGCAGCTGCTGCTGCCTGTCTCCCGCTTCCTGCTGCTGCTGCTGCTGGCCTTATCTGTGCCAGGCCTAGACGCCCAGCCGGGGATTAGGCCGCTAATAAATGAAGTTTCGCGCACGGCGTGTTTGCTGCTGCTGCACGGCAGCAGCAGCAGCAGCAGCGGCAGCAGCAGCTGGCTCGCGAACTGCGCAGCTGTTGCTGCTGCTGCACTGGACCCCACACTAACTGCAGCAGCAGCAGCAGCACAAGCCATCCGCTACGACTTGATGCTGCCTCTGGGGGAGCTGGACGCCGTGTCTTTTCTTTCGCGCTGCTGCAGCGGCGGCGCCTTTGAGGCTGCGCTTGCTGCTCCTGCAGCAGCAGCAGCAGCTGCTGCTGCTGCTGCTGCAGCGGGAGGCGCCGCAGTCTTGGTGGCAGCAGCAGGCAAAGCTGCCCTCGAGCTGCTGTCTGCATGCGCAGACTGTGTGCAGCAGCAGCAAGGCTTTATTTGCCCGCTGCCGCTAAGAGAGCAGCGGCAGCTGCCAGTGCCGAGGGCGCAGCAGCTAGATGGGGATTCTTTGTGTCGGCTTCTTGCTGCAGCAGGTGACCCTCTGGTGCTGCAGCCGCTGCTGGGGGCTGCGAGCCGCTTCCTTGCAGCAGCAGCAGCAGCAGCGGGGCCTCCGGGGCTGCAGCAGGACCTCCTCGGCCTGCCGCAGCAGCAGCAGCAGCAGCAGCAGCAGCAGCAGCAGCCGGAGGCCGCAGCCCCCAGGCTCGACAAACTCAAAGCTGCTGCGCCCCAGCTGCTGGCCGTGCTGCGCTGCGTGGACCACTGGTTAGGAGCAGCAGCAGGAGATGGTTTGCTGCTGCCTGCGCTGGTGCTGCTGGACACTTGTTTGCTGCCCGCGCTGCTGCAGCTGCTGCGCGCCTGCTGCTGGCTCGAGAGGCGCTGCTGCTGCGCCCCCTTAGCAGCAGCAGCAGCAGAAGCCCCCGACGCGCTGCTGGCAGCAACAGACCTCACTGGCGAAGTAGCAGAAGCAGCAGCAGAAGCGCTGACTAAGGGAGTGTCTCTTCTTGCTGCTCGCAATTTGCCCACGGACGGCGACAGCAGCAGCAGCAGCAGCAGCAGCAGCAGCAGCGGCAGGCGGCCGCGGGGGCCCGCGCGGCCCGCGCAGCAGTCCGTCGCGCTGCAGCAGCAGCACGACATGGGGCGCCGGGGCTCCTCTCCCGCTGCGCTGCAGCAGCAGCAGCAGCAGCAGCAGCAGCAGGAAAGCCAAAGACACTCGCTCTGCATAGTGGAGCGGCTGCTGCTGTTCTCTCACCTGTGCTCGTCGCTGCACCCGGAGCTGGCGGGCAGCAGCAGCGAAGACCCTGCTGCTGCAGCGGCGGCGTTCGCTGCAGCAGCAGCAGCAGCAGCAGCAGCGGGAGACGCGAGACTGTCTGCTGCAGCGCATGCCTCGCGAGTCCTGGGCTCCCTAGTCACAGCTTTTGCTGCTGAGACCTGCGCTGTGCTGGCCCTGGTGGAAGCAGAAGCAGCAGCAGGAGTTCAAATGCCTGCTGCAGCCTTTAGGAGGCTTTGCTGCTCGCTGTGCAGCGACGCGCTGTGGCCGCTGCCTCCCGCTGCAGCAGCAGCAGCAGCAGCGGACGGCGGGCAGCGCCTGCAGCAGCAGCAGCAGCAGCGGGCCGCGCTTCCCGCGCGTCAGCAGCAGCACATGCGAGTGCCCGAACGCCTGCTGCAGAGGCAGCAGCAGCGGGAGGCCCTGACCCGCGTGAGCAGCAGCAAGGAAGCAGCAGTTTGCGCAGCACTGCGCACCGGCGTGCTGCTGCTGCAGCACTGGTTTTGCTGCAGCGCCTGGCCCACCAAGGACAGGTTCTGGCCAGCAGTGGAAGCAGCAGAAAAGATGGCTCAGGCTGTCCGCACAGTGCAGCAGGCGCTGCGGGCCAGGCAGTCCGCAGCAACAGCAGCAGCAGCAGCAGCAGCAGCGGCGGCAGCGGCTCCCCAGCAGCTGCTGCTGCTGCTGCAGCAGCAGCAAGAACTCACCACTGTCGAAGCAGCGCTCGAGAGAAGCGCAGGCAGCTGGATGCGAAAGGTCACCTGCAGGCTGGTGGAGGTTTCTGCATTCCCCGCAAGCCTCAGCAGCAGCAGCAGCAGCAGCAGCAGCAGCAGGAAGGAAGAAGCTGAGGCTTTCCTGGCCCTCAGGTCGGACGTGCGGGGAGCCTTGCGGTAGGTTTTGCTGCTGCTTCTAGCACCTGTCTTTTGAGTCTTCTGCTTTTTTAATTCTTTTCTTCTTTTCTGTTTAGTGCTTCACTGTTTGCTGCTGCTGCTGCTGCTGCTGCTGCTGGCAGCAAACTGCTTCTCGTTTCTGTCTCTCTTTACTTCTTTAGCGGTGTCTTTGCATTGGTGCTTTATGCGAAGTCTGTTTTGCTGCTGCTTGGCGGCTCCTTCCTGCTGCTGCTGCTGCTGCTATTTTGCCTGCTTTGCTTTCCGCTGGTTGCTCGCCGCGGCTCGCGCCTGAGCTGCTCGTGAACTGCTGCTGCTGCTGCTGTTGCTGCTGCTGCTGCTGTTGCTGCTGCTGCTGCAGCAACCTTTTTGCCCCCGAGGGCCAGAACGTGTACAGACTGCACGACGGCCTGCTGCCGGACTTGACGACGACCGCGTTGTCGCTGCTGCGTGAGCGTCCCGAAGCAGCAGCAGCAGCAGCAGCAGGACAGCAGCAGCAGCAGCAGTGGGCAGCATTTGAGTCCGTGCTGCATGCAATATCTGCTGTGGTTCACGCTGCGGACTGGCGGGCCAACGACTCGCTGCAGCAGCTGCTGCTGGGCCTGCTGTCGCCGGTGTCCAGCCTGAGCGCGCCGGCGGGGTCAGGAGCAGCAGCAGCAGCAGCAGCAGCAGCAGCAGCAGGAGCAGCAGCAGGAGTGCCTTGGGTGCTGGGGTCTCACCGCGTGCTGCTGGGCTCCGCGCTGCAGCTGCTGGGCGCGCTGGACTGGTGGCTGCTGGAGCAGCCGCGGCTGCTGCCCACAGTGCTGCTGCTGCTGCAGCAGTCGCTGCTGCTGCCGCAAGCTTCCGACCAGTGCTTCCCCCTTTCTTCTAAAGAAGACCACTTGGGCTGCGTCTCGCTGCTGAAGCTTTGCTTAGCTTCCGAAGCTCCTGGCATTTGCTGCTGGGCGCAGCCGCTGCAGTCGCCGATATCAACTCAGAGTTTCTGCAGCTTGGCTGTGCACTTGGTGGAGGTGGTAGCGGCCATTCCTGCCAGCAGCAGCAGCAGCAGCAGCAGCAGCAGCAGCGGCAGGGGCGCAGAACCCGAAGACGCCCTCAGCAGGTGGGCAGCAGCACAGAAGCAGCTCTGCATGCAAAGCAGACACTGCGTTGTTGCTGTTGCAGGAAGACTGCTTGCTGTTTCCTGCCGCATACACGTGGCGCAGCAGATGCAGCAGCTCGTGCTGCAGCAGCAGCAGCAGCAGCTGCAGCAGCAGCAGCAGCAGCAGGACCCCTACATGATTGTGGGGTTCTTCGTTAGTCGACATATGGAAATTCTGCGGGGCCTCGCAGAGCAGCTGCACGTGCAGCCCCTTGCTGCAGCAGCAGCAACTGCAGCAGCGCGGCCCCAGAAGCAGCTTGTTGCAGCAGCATGCACGTTCGTGCTGCAGTCTCTGGAAGCTTTTCTTTCTGCATGTCTGCAGCCGCTTCTAGAGCAGAGTGCAGCAGCAGCAAAACTCAACAGCGGGTTTAGCCTAGGCAGCATGTGCTGCGGCCGGCGGCCTGCGCCGGTGCGGGCTCTCGGCGGCAGCAGCCGACAGCAGCAGCAGCAGCAGCAGCAACAGCAGCAGCAGCAGCAGCAATCGCACTGTCCGCTACTTTCCTGCACCATTTTAAAAAGGTTAGGATTTTATAGCGTGCGTCAACGAGCTGCACGGAGGCAGCAGCAGCAGCAGCAGCTTCTCCAACAGCAGCAGCAGCAGCAGCCGGTTTTAGGAATAGACAGCAAGCTGGACCAAACGATAGATGGGAGTGCACCAGCAGCAAATGCAGCAGCTGCTGCTGCTCTTGCTGCTGCTCATGGCCTCATGCGGCTGCTCGTGCTGCACCTCAACGAATTTGCACAGACACTCCGAACGCTAGTTGCTGCAGCAGCAACACTTGCTGGTGGCAAAAGCGGGCAAAGCCAACAAGTCCGTTGCTGCTGCTGCTGCTGCTGCTTACGCTGCTGCTGTTGCTGCTGCCTGCTCTGCTGTTGCTGCTGCTTACGCTGCTGCTGCCGCTGCTGTTTACGCTGCTGCGGCTCACGCTGCTGCTCTTGTTGCTGCAGCAGCGGCAGGGAGGTGTTGCTGCAGTTGCTGCAGCTGAAGCAAAGGCTCATTCGTGTTTGCTGCTGCGTGTTCTGCTGCTGCTGCTGCTGCTGCAGATATCAAGTTTGGTTGCTGCATTGTCTTCCTTCTTGTCTTTTGGCCTCCACGCGGCGCTGCGCCTTGGGGGAGATGCTTCAGCAGCAGCAGCAAAAGGCCTCATTGCTGAGCTGCGGGCGCTGCTGCCGCCTTGCCCGTAGAGGCAGCAGCAGCAGCAGCAGCAGCAGCAGCAGTAGCCGAAAGGCCGGATAGTATGTTTTCCGTGGGTTTGCCTGCCTCCGCTGCGGCTCTTTTTTTACAGGCACTGGCGGCAGCAGCAGCAGCAGCAGCAGCAGCAGCAGGCGCGTACACAATGGCTTGAATCCGTGTTGAGCTCAGTTGTATGTCTTTTGAAAGGCAGCAGGTATTGGTGTGCTAGGTGAGCAGCAAAATGCCCCCGTAAACAGCCCATAGGGCTACTGGCAGCAGCAGCAGCAGCAGCAGCAGCAGCAGCGCCTTGTGCTGCTTTTGCTGCTACCTGTATATGTGTCCAAGTAAAATATGGAGTGCAGTTCTGCGTATTTGACAGCCGCGCACCGTCTCCAGCAGCAGCAGCAGCGGCTGCTGCTGCTGCTGCTGCTGGTGCAGCAGCAGCGGCTTGGCCGCAATAAAGTTTATGTGTTTTTGTCACGTTCTTGATCATTTAATTTAACTCGGGGAGCAGCTTTTCTCTCTAGCCCCATAGGGGAACACACAAAGGGTCTTTAGGCCCCAGCAGCAGCAGCAGCAGCTGCTGCTGCAGCAGCAGCACCACCATCAGCAGCAGCAGCTGCTGCTGGTGCAGCAGCAGCAGCAGTAGCAGCAGCTGCACACACCACCACCACCAGCAGCTGCTGCTGCAGTAGCAGCAGCAGCTGCAGCAGCAGCAGCAGCAGGGATTCGGGCTTCGTGGCGCGTGTGCGGCCTTGCTGCTGCAGCAACTTGCTGCTGCAGCAGCGGCCCGCCAGTGAAGAGCCCCGGAGGCCCCTGCGCCCCGCAGGGCCCCCGCCCCATTATTTTTGAGGGATGGCTGGAAGGGTTTTTGCTGCCTCTCGGAGCTTTTGGCCTAGAAGTGCAGCAGCTGCAGCAGCTGCAGCAGCAGCAACTGCAGCAGCAGCAACTGCAGCAGCAGCAACTGCAGCGGCAGTAACTGCGCAGCAGCAAGCAGCAAACTTTTGCTGCTGCTGCAGCGAGCCTCGGCAGCAGCAGCAGCAGCAGCAGCCACTTCTTGCCCCAGCCCTTCTTTTATGCCCCACTCAGAGGCAGCCTTTTAGCCCTAAGTTGCTTCTTTAATTTAAATACCTTTTTAGTTTGCTTTTAGTTTTAAGTTGTCTTCTAAATACCTTTTCAGGACACTTTTAGCTCTAATAATTGTCTTTTAAATACCTTTTTAGTTCACTTTTTATCCCAAGTTTCATTTAAAATACCTTTTTAGAACATATCTAGTCCTAAGATTCATTAAAAATACCTTTTTAGAACATTTTAAATCCCAATTTGCTTTTTAAACACCTTTTTAGTTTACTTTTAGTTTTAAATTTCCCTTTAAAAGCCCTTTTAGGAACTTCTAAGTCCAAATTAGTCTTTTTCTGCTATTAGATTTAAACAGCAGCAAAACGAACTGCAGCAGGAATAAGCTGGAAGCACCGAGGGTTTAGGGTTTAGGGTTTAGGGTTTGAGCAGGCCTTCCGCTGCTGCTGCTGCGGGGCCCTCCCTGCTGCTTCGCAGCCCCAGGAAGCCCTTATTGCTTCCTCTAAACCCCAGCCCCAAGGGGCCCCTGGGGGCCCCAAGAGGGGCCCCTGGGGGCCCCAAGAGGGGCCCCTGGGGGCCCCAAGAGGGCCCCTAAGAGGGGCCCCTGGAGGCCTCGCTGCAGCTGTTGCTGCTGCTGCCAGCAGCTCCAGGCAGCAAGAGGGTCCAGCAGAAACACTAAAGAAGCAGCAGCAGCAGATCCTTCTAAAGGCGCAGCAGCAGCTCAAAGGGGCCCCCAGGGGCCATCAGAAAGGGCCCCTTGGGATGCCCAGGGGGCCCCCAACAAACCCCTTTGGGGCCACCAGAGGGGCCCCCCTCGAGGCCCAGAGGGCCCACAGGGGGCCCCTCAGAAAGCCCATAGGGTTCACAGGGGGCCCCTCACGAGACTCATAGAGTTCAAAGGGGGCCCCTCAGAAGGCCAATACGCGTCAAAGCCCTCATGGCGCATCTAAGGGCCCCACACAGTCCACAGGAGGTCCAACTTGGGGCCCCCGAGCCCCATGGGGGCCCCCGTAGGGGCCCCTTTAGGGGCCCCCCTTAGGCGCCTCCAGCGGGGGCCCCCGTAGGGCCCCCGTAGGGGCCGTAGGGGGCCCCCTTAGGGCCTACCCTGGGGCCTCAGGGCGGAACTGTGGCGGTGGAGGGCGAGAGGAGCCCTTGTGCATGCAGCAGCGCTCACAGCCGCAGCAGCCGTTCGCTCCGAGAGCAGCAGCAGCAGCAGCAGCAGCAGCAGCAGCAACAGCAACAGTAACAGCACATTCACTTCGAGGCGCTTTCTTCTTAATTTTCACATAAATGCTCTTAATTATGGGAACTCGGGCAGCTCAGGGCTCCACGAACAGCTCCAGAGAGAGGCCCCCGCCTCGGGGCCCCCAGCAGGGTACTTGGGGCCCCCCTGAGGGCCTCCTTTGGGGCCCTCAGGGGGGCCCCCAAGGAGGTCTAGAGGCTTTGTAAGCCTCTTCTTCTGTCTTGTTTTCATTTAATCAGTAAATAAAGAAAAGAAACCCCCCAAAAGACCCAAAGGGGGCCCCCAGACACCCGCAAGGCCCGCCAGGCCTAGGGGGGCCCCCCAGCAGCACAGCCAGCCAGGAGGCCCTAAGGGGGCCCCCCAGGGCCGCCTCTGGAGCGCCTGGGGCCCCTCGGGGGGCTCCCAAAGGCCACCCAGGGGCCCCAGCAACTCGAATAAAAGCAGCAGGAGACCTGGGGGGCCCCTAGATAACCCCAGAGCATTTCCCAGAAGTTTGGGGGCCCTAGCGTCGCCCAGAGGGGCCCCAGCTTATGAGCACACTGAAGAGCGTGGGGGGGTGCCCACAGGGGCCCCCTCTGCGGCGGCACAAGGGCGAGGAGCAGCAGCAGCAGCAGCGGCAGCAGCAGCAGCAGCAGCAGCGGCAGCAGCAGCAGCAGGTGCGAGAGGCAGTCTTTGCCGCGCTGCCTCAGTTGGTGGCGTTTCTTTGTGCCTTTGCAGCAGCTGCAGCAGCTGCAGCAGCTGCAGCAGCTGCTCTTGCTCTTCAGTCTCAGGGGCCTCCAGCAGCAGACACCGTTGCTGCTGCTGTTGCTGCTGCTGCACTTGTTGGAGCTAGTGGGCCCCGCTGGGCCTTGAAAGGCGTTTACGAGGTGCAGCTGCAGCAGCAGCAGCAGCAGCAGCAGCAGCACCGCAGCAGCAGCACTGCTTTGCAAGCTATTCTTCTTGTGTCTTCCCTACTTATCCTCTGGGGGGCCTCCGCTGCTATCGCAGCAGCAATAACAACAGGTGCTGCTGCTGCTGCTGCTGCTGCTGCTGCTGCACCCTTCAGCAGCGCAAGTTTTCCAGGCTTTGCTGCAGCAGCAGCACTGGCAGCAAGCGGCGCACTGGCCCTTCGCGCTGCTCATCTCCCTCTTCCGGTTTGCTTTGGCAGCAGCAGCAGCAGCAGCAGCAGCGGCAGCAGCAGCGGCAGCAGCGGCAGCAGCGGCAGCAGCAGCAGCAGCAGCAGGCGCTTCTTTCCTCGCAGCCTACCGTACATTTGTGCTGCAGATCTTCTCGGCCGCATCTTAGCCCTGCACGGCAGCAGCAGGTTGCTGCTGCTGCTGCTGCTGCAGCAAGGAGGGGGCCTCTGGGAAGGGCCCCTCGGGGCCCCGCTGCTGCTGCTGCTGAGTGGCTTTGCCTTCCTGCAGGCTTACGCTGCTGCGCGCTGCAGCTGCAAAGCAGCGCTGAGCAGCAGCAGCAGCAGCAGCAGCAGCAGCAGCAGCAGCAGCAGCAACTGCAGCAGCAGCAGCAGCGAAACGCCGCTTCTGAAGATACAGCTGCACACGTAGCAGCAGCTCCCAAACCCACCTCAGTGGGGGCCCCTCTGGGGGCCCCACTGGAGGCCCCTCTGGGGGCCCCCTTGGGGGCCCCTGTGGGGGCCCCCTTGGGGGCCCCTCTGGGGGCCCCCTTGGGGGCCCCTGTGGGGGCCCCCTTGGGGGCCCCTGTGGGGGCCCCTGTGTGCTGCGCGTGTTGCGGGTTTGTGGCTTTGAAGTGGGACGTGCGGAGCAGCAAAGAAAGCGAAGAGGCCCTCAAAAGCCTCCAGGGGTTTATTGGGGGGCCCCTGGGGGGCCCCCTGGGGGGCCCCCTGGGGGGCCCCCTGGGGGCCCCCCGGCTGCACGCGGTTGTGTGTGGGGCGGGAGTGTGGGCTTCGTTTCCGGCGCAGGTAGCCTGCTGCTGCTGCTGCTGCTGCTGCTGCTGCTGCTGCTGCTGCTGCTGCTACTGCTGCTGCTGCTGCTGCTGCTGATGATGATGTTGAGGGGGAGAAGTGTGGGATTGCAGGGGAAGAAGCACGGCGAAAGCGCACTGGCCGCTGCAGACCTGCACTCCCCGTTCATTCTGCTGTTGCTGCTGCTGCTGCTGCTGCTGTTGCTGCTGCTGCTGCTGCTGATGCAGGCAGTGGAGCGCGAGGCCTTCCTTTCCGAGGCCAACGAAGAATTTGCAGTTAATTTCTTTGGGGCCCTCAGGGTGGCGCATGCGCTGCTGCCGCTGCTGCGGGGAGATAGCTTGACCGGCTCTGCTGCTGCTGCTGCTGCTGCTGCTGCTGAAGGGGCAGCGCCAGCAGCAGCAGCAGCTGCAGCCGCAGCAGCAGCAACTGGAGGTTCCCCGGGGGTCAGCAGCGTGCTGCTGGACTGTCTGTCTTCTTTCTTTGGCATTTCTTTTTCTCTGCCGAGCCGCATTATCTTTATCACTTCTGCTGTTGCTGCTGCTGCTCCCCCGGGGCAGGCCATCTACGCAGCAACAAAAGCAGCAGCAGCAGCAGCAGCAACGGGACTCAGCAGCGAGCTCCGCGGCACCAATGTCCGCGTTGTTTGCGTAGGTAGGTCTATGCACTTCAAAGGGGCCCCTAGGGGGCCCCTAGGGGGCCCCTAGGGGGCCCCCTGGGGGCCCCCTGGGGGCCCCCAGGGGCCCTTATGTGGCCCTTAAGGGGCCCTAAGGGGGCCCCAGGGGGCCCCTAGGGGGCCCCCGTGCTCCAGTTTTGGGGGCCCCTGGGGGCCCTCTCTGTGCAGCAAGGGTTCTTAAAGGGCCCGTAAGGGCACATAAAGAGAGCTAGAGGGGTTGCTGCTGCTGCAGATGGAGCAGCACAGGCACTGGCAGCAGCAGCAGCAGCAGCAGCAAGACAGCAGCACTGGGCTTTGCAAGGGCTGCTAGGGGCTGTCTGCTGCTTTGCTGCTGCAGCACCAGGCGCAGCAGCTACAGCCCTCTTCTCGCGGAAGCCATTTGCTGCCAAAAGCCAAAGGCCTCAAGGGGCTGTGCAGCAGCAAGTGCTTGACAGCCAAAGCGGTAAGCGAGCAGCACACGGAGAAGCAGCAGCAGCAGCAGCAGCAGCAGCAGCAGCAGAAGCAAAGAGAGCAGCAGTGGGCCTAGCTCATTGCGCAGTCCGTGCGTGCTGCTGCTGCTGCTGCTGCTTGTGCTGCTGCTGCTGCTGCTTGTGCTGCTGCTGCTGCTGCTTGTGCTGCTGCTGCTGCTGGGTGCTTGTGGCGAGCAGAGCTGCTGCTGAATTTGGCCTCTCCTCCTGGCGTTGCTGCTGCTGCTGTTGCTGCTGCTGTTTCGGCGGTGGAGCCCCCCAGCGTCATTCGCTGCTGCTGGGACTCCCCCGTGTGGCTGCTGCTGCAGTGCAGCAGCAGCAGCATAAGGGACTTGCTGCTGTTTTGTCTTTTTGCCTTCCGTTTCCCCTCACCTCTCGCCCGCCTTGCAGCATGGCTGGGGCCCTCAGGGGCCCCTCGGGGGGCCCCCCCGGGGGGCCCCCCAAAGGGCACATAGGGGGGCCCCACAGGGGCCCCTATGGGACTCCTGTGGGGCCCCCAGGAGCCCCACATGGCCTCTAGGGGGCCCCAGGGGCACCACGGGGCTCCCAGGAGCACTGCAGAGCCCGTAGGGGCCCCTCAGGGGGCCCCTCAGGGGCCCCTCGGGGCCCCCAGGGCCCCCCGGGGGCCCCCAGGGGCCCCAGGGGCCCCAGGGGCCCCAGATGATGAGGCCTTAGAGGGGCAGCACATTAGGGCTTTTCTAGGGATGCCTCAGTTGGGGTTTTGTGGCTCTGAGGGGTTTTTTGGGAAGTTTGCAAAACCTTTTGTTTCCTTTTGTGATTCTGTTTTTGTATCTGCTGCCGCTGCAGCGGCAGTGGCTGCTGCTGCAGCTGCAGAAAGCGGCTGGCTCGCTGCTGCTGCAGGCGGCCTCTTTGATGGAGAACTGTTGCTGCACTTGTGCTAGCTAGCTAGCTAGCTAGCTGGGTAGCTAGCTGGACAACGAAGTGGCCAGCTTATGAGGGAGCTGACAACTCTCCAGCTGCTGCTTGTTTCTCCATGGAGCGGTGTCTCGCTGCGGCGCTTTGCTGCTGCTGCACCGCTGCTGCAGCTGCTTCTGCTGCCACAGCTACGCAGCAGCAGCAGCAGCGGCAGGAGCAGCAGCAGGGTCGGCGGAGGCCAGGGGGTAGCGGCGAATGGCCCGCTGGGCATGCGGCCTAACTGCTGCCTCTAAAAGGCCCTAAAAGTATTTAATTTAATTAATTTAAATAAATTTAATTTTAAAAAAAAAGATAAAAGATGAAAGAAAGGAAAAGAAGAGAAGAAGCGGGAGCAGCGGGGCCGCCGACACCTTGGGCGACGACACCGCGTCGATGCTGCGACTCTGCCTGCTGCTTATTGCCATTTTTTAAAACATTTGATTTAATTAATTTAAATTTAATAAAATTAATTCAAAATTGGAGATAAATATCCAAAAGAATTCGCAAATTCCGCCAATTTCAGTGTGCGATCGCCCGAAAACCACGGCCGCGACTCGCCGTGGCGCCTCGCAGCAGCTGTTCGGCTGCTGCTGCTGCTGCTGCTGCTGCTGCTGCTGCTGCTTGCGTGTGTTGTGGGTCGAGTTTGAAGCCTTAATTTGAATTTATTTCATTATTATTAAATCCTTTTCATTATTTAATTTCCGCAAACACAACTCCCGGGACTTCTCTCCACAACAACCCACGGTAAGCCTCAGCCCAGAGCCTCTGAGCCGCTGGAGCCTTGTGCCTGGTGTTCTGTTTCCGCGTTTTGTGGCTTTTTTGTGCACTTTTTCTCAAAATAATTAAATACTTTTGTTATTTAAATGTTAATTTTCGTTTTTTCTTTCTTTCCACTCCATTCTTGCCCGGGAAGCCCTCAGTCCAGCGGCCAGCGCTGGCTCGCCGCCGCCGCCGCCCGCAGCCGCAGCAGCACTTAACTGCAGCAGAAATGCATTTAATGCAATTTTCGGATCAGCAGCAAATTAAAAGTCTTGAGGAGAAGTGGAGAAGCAAAAAAAGCCCACAGATCCGCTGACACTCTTAGCAGCAGCAGCAGCAGCAGCAGCAGCAGCAGCAGCAGTGGGAGAAGCAGCGCTGCGCCGGCAGTGGGGCCACTTCAGCAGAAACAGCGGCTTGGGTAGCAACTGCAGCAACAGCATCAAGGATAATCCTATGCAGCAGCAACAGCAGCAACAGCAGCAGCAGCAGCAGCAGCAGCAACAGCAGCAGTAACTGCCACCACTCAAATCTTTCGATGCCAGTGCTCTTTCTTGCTCTCACACAAATAAATGAACGCATAAACAAACAAACAACAATAAATAAATAGATAAATAAATTAATAAATAAATAAATAAATAAATAAATAAATAAATAAATAAATAATAATGTTTTCATTAAATGCAGATCCGCAGCCGGATATATTTATTTGTTTCGCTGCGCACTTGTAAAATTTCAGTGTACATACACCCCACAAGCGTACATACAGCAGAAAGCCCTCAAAAGAGGTCAAATTTGGGTCAAAATTTGCGTCTTTTTTCATTTTAAATTTTATTTTCATTTTAAATTCTATTTCCACTTTATTTCCACTTTAAATGCCTTTCAAGATGCCATTAATGGCCCCATTTCGAGAAACTTCTCCTCCACTTTCCCCCAAATTTGAACTTGTGCGAATCCCCCTCACAGCAAGGGAATGGGGGCACAGAAGAAGCAAAAATTCAAAAGTCCAAAAGTCCCAATAAGTGCCAAAAAGTCCCAAAAAAGTCCCAAAATGTTCCAAAAAGGGTTTTAAAAAGTTCTAAAAACGTTTTATAAACTCAAAATGATCTTAATTGTCTTTTTCAGCAGCAAAAAGGGCCTTTCGGGGTGTCTTGGTGGTTTTTGCTGCTGCAGTTTTTGCCGCTTTTTGCTTCTGGAAGAAAACGGGCAAAAAGGGGCCCCTGGAGAGGCTTCTTTTTGTCAAATTAAATCTTCGAATTTATTTAAATTCTTTTTACTATTTTATTAATTTATTTATTTATTATTTATCATTTTATTTATTTATTTATTTATTTACCTATTTATTTATTTATTTATTTATTTATTTATTTACTTTTTGCTGCTGGCCACAGACTTTTGCTGCAGCGTTTGCTGCTGCTTTCCAGCCATTCCCGCTGCGGGTTTTCTTTTTTTTCCGTTTTTGTTATCAATTTTATTTATTTATTGTTTCTTTTTGTTTATTATTTGTTTTTAATGTTTATTTTTGTTTATTATTTGTTTTTAATGTTTGTTTTTGTTCATTTTTGTTTATTTTTTTATTTTTGTTAATTTCGTTGCTGCTGTCTGCGCAGCAATTTGCTGCTGCTGCACGCAGGCGCCTTCGCCTGCCGTTCCGTGGCCTTTGCTGCTGCTGGGGGTTTGCTGCTGCAGCAAGTGGCTCAATTTGTGGGGTTTTTGTGTAATTTTTTCTTTTTTTTAATTAAATTAATTAAATTAATTAAATTATTTGCATTTAGAAGCTTTATTTGCTGCTTTTCTTCAGAAATGACCTCCCCAAAGCCCCCCAGCTCCCCCGAGGAAAGCCCCCAGGTGACCCGCACGCCCAACCCTTCGCCTGAGAGCAGCCCGGGGCTGCAGAGCCACAGCAGCAGCTTGGGGTTTGCGAGTGCTGCTGCTGCTGATGCTGCTGCTGCTGCTGCTGACGCAGCAGCAGCTGCAGCCCGCGCTGGCGCGCAGGTGGCTGCGGAGGCCGACGCTGCAGCGCAAGCCGCCGGAGCTGCTGCTTCCGATGCTGCTGCTGCTGCTGATGCTGCACTAGCAGCTCCTGCCGAGGGCAGCGCAGCAGAGCCGCAGCCAGAGGCAGCAGCAGCAGAAGCAGCAACAACAGAGCCTGCTGCTGAGCCTGCAGCAGCAGCAGCAGCAGCAAGGCAAGACAGCGCGCGCAGTTCCTCATCTACGGCTTCCAAGCGCGAAAGGGTTTCTATCAGCACGCCGCTTGCAGCAGCAGCAGCAGCAGCAGCAGCAGTTGCTGTGGGCGCCCCCTTGACCACAGCAGCCATGGCTGCTGCAGCAACAGCAACAGTAGCAGCTGCTGCCCCCCAAGACGACAGCCGGGGCAGCGGCAGCTTGAGTTCGCGCAGCAGCAACAGCCGCAGCAGCGAAGGCAGCAGGCGCAGCAGCCTCAGCGGCAGCAGCAGCCACAGCAGCAGCAGCAGCAACCGCAGCGGCTTGAGAACCCCCTGCAGCAGCCCAGTGCTTCCAGCAAATTCTGCTGCCCCTTCTTATAAAGTCCCCAGCCTCAACTCCCCAAAGCCCAGCGACCTCAGCCCCAGGCTGCTGCTGCCGATGGGCAGCAGCAGCAGCGGCTGCAGCAGCAGCAGCAGCAACAGCCCCAGGGCTAAGTCGGACCTCGAGGCCATGGAGACAGACGCCAGAGTCACTCTCTTCTCCCGTAAGAAGCTCCTGCTGCTGCTGCTGCTGCAGCTGATGCTGCTGCTACTGTTGCTGCTGATATTCTTGCTGATGATGGTGTTGCTGCCGCTGCTGCTGCTGCTGCTGCTGCACTACTCTGCAAGCCTCGAAAGAGGACAGAAAGGGGCCCCATAGAGTCCTCTTGCTTGGGAAGCATCCTATTGCCGACACTGCGCTGCTGCTGCTGCTGCTGCTGCTGTCGCTACTGCTGCTGCTGGTGCTCTCGCTAATACTTAGGGCTGCTGCTGTTGTTGCTGTTGTTTCTGCTGCTGTTGCTGCTTTTGTTGTTGCTGCCTCTGGTCTTGCGGCCCTTGCGGCTGCTGCTGTTGCTGTTTTCGCCGCTGCTGCTGCTGCTGCTGCTTGTGCATGCTCGCGGTTGCTGCTGCTGCTGCTGCTGCTGCTGCAGCTGAGGGCCCCGTGCCCATCAACATCTGGGACCTGAAGAAGCTGCGGCACTGGAACTATGATCAGTACCAAGAGTTAAGGAGGGAATACTTGAGACAAAGAGTCAGTTTTTATTTTTATTTTTATTTTTATTTTTATTTTTATTTAATTTTCCTTTTCCTTTTTATTCCTTATTTGCTTCCTCATTTGCCTCTTTTCGCGCATTTAGCTGGCTCTTTGTTCGTGTCGTTTTGCTACTGCTGCTGCTGCTGCTGCTGCTGCTGCTGCTGCTGCTGCTGCTGCTGCTGCTGCTGCTGTCCCTCCTAGTTTCTCTGCTGCTGCGTCTGCCTCCATCCTCGCCGCCACGCCCGTCGCCTCCTGCGCTGCTGCTGCTGCCGCTGCTCTTCCTGCTGCTGCTGCTGCTGCTGCTGCTGCTGCTGCTGCTACTCCTACACTGCTGCTGCTGCTGCTGCTGCTGCTGCTGCTGCTGCAGGCGTCGCCGGTGGTAGAGGAGCGGGCGTTCGCAGTGCCGCACCCCGGGGTGGACTACTTTTACTACAGGGCCCCCTTTTTGAGCCACGCGGGCCCCACAGGGCTGACAGCAGCAGCAGCACAATGCCTTTTGAGTTCTGGGGGCCGCCTCAGCGCAGACACAGATCTCCGCAGGACTCTGAAGGAGCGGCTGCAGGCCCACGCGGAGCTGGACCGCAGCCTCACCCGCCTCAGCTGCCTGGGCTGCCTCTAGTCCCGCAGCAGCAGCAGCAGCAGCAGCAGCAGCTGTTGCTGCTGCTGCAGGAGGCGCTGCAAGGGCGGCTCCCGCTGCTGCAGGGCAGCCGCTGCGCTGCTCCGGCAGGAGGCCGTGCTGCAGCGGGCCCTGCTGCTGCAGGGTGCGCTGCTGAAGGCGCTGCAGCAGGACCAGCTGTTGCTGCAGCAGCAGCAGCAGCAGCTGCTGCTGCTGCTACCTTGAGCTGCGTGTCCACTGCTCATGTGTGGATACTGTGCAGATACTTGTAAAATAAATATTATATAATTAATGTTTCTAAAGAGATATTTATTTCCTCATTTAAGTCTTTGTCTTTATAATTATAACAACACCCAAATGGCCTACCTGCATGCCCGTGTCTTTGGCTCTGTAATAAGCGCATGCATCCAAAGCCTATAAGGCTATAACTAACTGACTAACTAACTAAGTAAATAAATAAATAAATAAATAAATATATAAATATATAAATAAATAAAATATAAATAATGAAAAGATAATAAATAAATAAGTGGGACGTGAAAGCATGTGCTGTGCAAGTGGGCCTGCAGTGACCAAAGTGTCTGTGCAATTGCATTTAAATGCAGAACTACTTCATCAAATTTAAATAAAAAAATAAAATAAATATAATTAAAATAAATATAAATAATATAAATGGAAATAATCTAAATGTCTGCACAAACGCATGCAGTCCGAGGGCTGCTGAGCCGTTTACGGCGCCGCTGCGCTGCGCTGCTGCAGAGCGCAGCAGCAGCAGCAGCAGCAGCAGCAGCAGCAGCAGAACAGTACATCAAAGGTAGCGAGGCGCTTTTTGCTTCGACTGATTTCAATTCTTGACGCAGTGAGTCCCTTCACCAGGTGTACGTACACCCGAGCTGCAGCAGCCTGTCCTGCAGCAGCAGCAGCCGCTGCAGCAGCGCAGAGAAAGCCCGCAGCAGCACAGCCCTACGTTGCAGCAGCAGCAGCTGCTGCTGCTAGAGTGGCCGGCAGCCCAGGCCAGCAGCAAGGGCCCACTGCGGGGCATTAGGCTTATTAGGGTTTAGGGTTTAGGGTTTGGGCTAGGGTTTGCTGCTGCGTCTCTGAAGATATCTTTTCCTGTAGAGGAAGCAAACAGCAAAAAGGCAACTCAGCATAAGCAGCAGTGCTGCAGCAGCGGGACCAGACACAAGCAGCAGCAGATCCTCTCCAGCTAGCCAGCTAGCTAGCTAGCTAGACATGCTATTTCAGGCCAGTAGCAGCAGCAGCATTGTGCTGCTGCAACTGCGGGCGGCAGAGCAGCACAAGTGTCCGCGCACAGCAGCAGCATCGCAGCAGCAGCAGAGCTGCAGCAGCAGAGCTGCTGCGGCACAGCAGAAGCAGCGGGCAGAGCCTCTTGGCGCCTTAGTGGCTGCTGCTGCTGCTGTTGCTGCAGCAGCAGCAGCAGCAGCAGGCTCAAAACTAAGACGAAATGCATTAAGAAGAGCTGCGAGCTGTACAGACACCTGAAGGCTAACAGTGGCTCCTGGGGCCCCTAGCGAGCAGCAGCTTCTCCCTGAGCTAGCTGCCCCCGGCTAGCTACTAGCAGCTAGCTATCCAGCTAGCTAGCTAGCTAGCTAGCTAGCCAGCTAGCTAGCCAGGTAGCTGCACATGGCTCATCTCCTCGAACTCCCCCCACCCCGGCAAGGCCCGCAGCGAGCCTCTGGGCGCTGCGAGCGCAGCAGCGCGCTGCTCTGCAGTTGCTGCCAGCAGCAGCAGCAGCAGCAGCAGCAGCAGCGAACGGACTCAGTCAGAAGCAGCAGAACCCTACTAAAGGGGCCCCCGTGGCCGCCACTAGAGTGGCTGGCAGCAAAGGGGGCCCCCAGAGGCCCCCTAAGCCCTAGAGGTGAGGCCTATAGGCGTCGCAAGCTAAAGTTTTCCTACTGCGCAGCAACAACAGCAGCAGGGGCAGCAGCAGCAGCAGCAGCAGCAGCTGCTGCTGCTGCTGCCGCGAGCCCGCCGCAGGGGGTGTGGTGAGACTCAGCGCGCGCGGGCACCAGAGCTGAGGCAGCAGCTGCAGCAGCAGCAAGAAGAATATTCATATTGTTACACTTTTAAGAATTATTTTTAAACAAGACACAAAGAGAGCAAGAGCTGGGGCTGTCCGAGGCACTGGCGGCTTTGGCGCACCTCGAGCTGCTGCTGCTGGTGCTGCTGCTGCTGCTGCTGCTGCTGCTGCTGCTGGTACGTGGCGTCCATATGGGGCTGAGGGGTTGGCGGCCTCCGATCATCTCACGAAGCTGCTGCAGCAGCATTAATACCTCTTTGTAGGTTACTAGGATGTGCACCAGCTGCAAACAGGGCAGCGGCAGCAGCAGCAGCAGCAGCAACAAGAACTGCTGCAGCACGCGTGACGGCGCAGCAAAAAGGTAGGCTAAGGGGCCCCCCCGTCTTCACTCTTCAAGCAATTGTTGGGCCCCCGTATCTTCCGTTTTTATTTGTTTTTTAAGTGCAGCAGCTGCAGCAGCCGCTGCAGCAGCAACTGCAGCAGCAGCTAAAGCCCAGTGCATGCTTCCCCTCTACGCAGTGGTGGCGTGCCTCTCCCTAGCCAGTGTGTCTGCAGCCTCCCCCACTTTTTGCGTCTGCCGTTGCTGCTGCTGCTGCTCCGCTGGAGAGCAGCAGCAGCAGCAGCAGCAGAGCTGCAGCGTCTGTCTTTTCTCGCAGCAAGGCACCAGCGGGGCCCCCACCATGGCATCAGGGGCCCCCCATTGACTCTGCATTTTTGCTTCGCTTCCCTTCCTTTGCACTGCGGCATCTGCAGGCCGAGGCTGTGAGGCAGCAGCAGCAGCAGCAGCAGCAGCAGCTGCTGCGGAATACCATGGAGGGCGAAGTCTCGGCAGAAGCTGCAGCTCTGCGCGACCCCGCAGCAGAAACCCTCGAGGCAGCAGCAGCAGCAGGAAACGGGGCTTCGGAGACGCAGCAGCAGCCGCAGGACGGACGCGAGCTGCAGCACGACGAGCAGCAGCAGCAGCAGCAGCAGCAGGAGCAGCAGCACGCCGAAGACAGAGCCAGCAGAAGCAGCAGCAGAAGGCCCTCTGCTGCATGCAGCGCTGGAGATGAAGAGGAAGTGATTTACTCTGACCACGAGGGGCCTCCTGAGGAGGTGCAGCAGCAGCAGCAACAGCAGCAGCAGCAGCAGCAGCAGTCTGAAGATGACGCTGCTGAGGCGGCTGCAGCATCTTCGGGAGAGGCGAAGCTTCTGCAGGAGCAGCAGACGGATCCGAAGGCTGGCAGCAGCAGCTGCAGCAGCAGCAGCAGCAGCAGCAACGGCCCCGCGCTGCAGCAAAACAGCGACAGGGCGTCTCCCCAGCGGAGGAGCTCGACAGCAGCGCTGAACGGGGCAGCAGCAGCAGCAGCAGAAGGCGAGGCAGCAGCAGCAGCACCAGCAGAGGAGAGCACTGCAGCAGCAGCAGCGCGAGCCACCGAAGTCGGAGCAGCAGCAGCAGCAACACTGGCACGATTTGCTGCTGCTTGCGAAGAGAGCGACGAAGAGGGGGCCATTTCCGATGAGGAAGAAGGCCTTTCTGCTGAAGCAGCAGAAGCAGAGGCAGCAGCAGCAGCAGCAGCAGCAGTGGCAGCAGCAGCAGCAGCAGCAGCAGCGGGCCAGAGCAGCAGCAGCACAGTCGAGCTGCTCAACGCGCCGCTGAGCCTCGATGTTGCAGCAGCAACAGCAGCACTTAAGGAGGCCTGCAGCAGTTTGCTGCTGCGGGTTTCTTCCTCTCCGTCTCTGTCTGGAGACAGTCTGCAGCTTTGTGTCACCTTCAGCAGCAGCTTAGCAGCAGCAGCAGCAGCAGCAGCACTGAACGGCCGCAAGGCCTGCAGAAGGGTCCTGCGGGCCTCGCTGGCGGGGCCCCCCCGTGCTGCTGTTAGGGGGCCCCCCAGGGCCCCCCCGCTGGCTGCCCCTCCGGCCCCTGCAGCAGCAGCAGCAGCAGCAGCAGCAGCAGGGTTCAGGGGGCCCCAGCAGCAGCAGCAGCAGCAGCCGCCCCCGCCCCCGCCCGTGGGCGGCGGGCCCCCCGGCGTTGTCAAAGCAGTTTTAAGGCCAAGGCCTGTTGGCTTGAGGAGAGATGCAGCAGCAGCAGCAGCAGGCCCAGCAGCAGCAGCAGCAGCAGCAGCAGCAACTGCTGCTGCTGCTGCAGGCTCTCCCGCGGCGCTCGCCAGCCGCGTGTGCCTCACGCCGCGGCCGGGCGACGCCTGGGGCTCCCCCCCCAAGCCAGCAGCAGCAGCAGCAGCAGCAGCAGCAGCAGCAGCAGCAGCAGCAGGACCCGAAGCAGCAGATGCTGCTCCGCGGCTCGAGAGAGTCAGCAACTGGGCTGAGGGGCAGAGCATAGAGCAGCAAATGAAAGACTTCCAGCAGCTGCACGCGCGCTTCAGACACACCATCAGGTAAGCAGCAGCACCTGCTGCTGCTGCTGCTGCTGCTGCTGCTGCTGCTGTTGCTGTTGCTGTTGCTGTTTCTGCGGGTGGGGCGGGCTGTGCTTTTGCTGCGGCTGCTGCTTCGACCTGGCAGTGCTGGGGCCAGGTGTACTGCCGCTGTGTCGTGCAGAAGCAGCTGCTGCTGCTGCATCCACTGCTGCTGCTGCTGCAACTGCTGCTGCTGCTGCTGCTGCTGCTGCTTTGCGGTGTAGGTATTTGCTGCTGTCCAACCTGCCGGAACATCTGCAGCAGCCAGAGGCGCTGCTGGAGTGGCACCACAAGGTGGTGGAGCAGCCGCTGGAGGTTCTCATAGAAATAATAAGGCCCGAGCAGCAGCAGCAGCAGCAGCAGCAGCAGCAGCAGCAGCAGGAGGGGGCCGGCCCGCAGGGCGAGGGACAGTCGGAGCCAGCGTCGGGCGCTGCTGCTGCTGCTGACGGAGCAGCAGCAGCAACGCAGGGGGGGGAGACCCCGGCTTCTGCGGCGAGCAGCGACGCAGCAGCAGCAGCAGCAGACACTGCAGCAGCAGCAGACACCGCAGCAGCGGCGGACGCTGCAGCGGCAGCAGCAGACACTGCATCGGCAGCGGACACAGCACCGGCAGCAGACAAATCAGCAGCAGCAGCAGACCAGTCACAAGAGAAGGACGGAAGTGCTGCTGCAGCAACAGAGGCCGCTAGTTCCCCTGCTGCTGCTCCAGCAGCAGCAGCAGCAGACGCGGCCGCAGGCGAAGCAGCAAGTGCCCCGAGCGCCGCCGCAGACTCTGCAGCAGAAGAAGGCGCACCTGGCACGGAGAGCAGCAGCAGCAGCAGCAGCAGCAGCAGCAGCAGCAGCAGCGGCGCAGCAGAACTCAGCGCGGCCGGGGAGGGCGGAGAGGCGCCTGCGGGCGCAGCGGCTTCCGCAGCGCCTTCCGCGGCCCAGCCCGCAGCAGCAGCAGCAGCAGCAACAGCAGCAGCAGCAGCAGCAGCAGCAGCAGCAGCAGGAGTTGTGGCCCACCTGACCTACAAAACCAAACATGCATGCGTCGGGGCCCTCCGGAAGCTGCAGCAAAACACTCAGGGAGTTGTTGCAGCGCCTGCGGGGCCCCGCAGGGCCAACGCGGTCTTGTGGGTCGGCAACTGCCGCGGTGGGCCAGCAGCAGCAGCAGCAGCAGCAGCAGCAGAAGCAGCAGCAGCAGCAGCAGCAGCAGCAGCAGCAGCAGGAGCAGTTGTAGTGGCAGCGGGAACAGCAGAAGCAGCTGTAGGAGTAGCAGGAGCCGCACGAGCAGTAGCGGGAGCAGCAGGGGCAGTAGCAGTAGCAGGAACACTAGCAGCAGCAGCAGCAGCAGCAGCAGCAGCAGCAGCAGCAGCAGCAGTAGCAGCGCAGCTGGGGTCTTTTTGTGTGGTTTTTCTCCGTTTTTCTTCTTTTTTGTCTTTTTCTTTCTTTTAATTTTATTTGAAATTCATTTATTCTTTTATTTCCCTTTAAAACCTCCATTTCGCTGCCTTTGCTTCTTTCCCTCATTCGGCTCTTCATGTGTCCTGCCTGCTGCTGCTCTGCTGCTGCTGCTCCTCCTCCTCCCCCTCCCCCGCTCCCGCTGCTCCCCCGCCGCCGCCGCCGCCGCCGCTGCTGCTGCTGCTGCTGCTGCTGCTGCTGCTGCTGCTGCTGCTGCAGACCTGAAGCCGGAGTACCTGGGCGAGACGCGGCGGCTGTTCAGCACTTTCGGGCCCCTCGACCGTTTTCAGTTTTTGCTGGAGCGCGGCTGCGGCTTTGTGCACTTCGCCCGCATTGCCGATGCTGTCGAGGCCCGCAACCACCTCCACGGGGTCACTGTCGGGTCTGCTGCTGCTGCTGCTGCTGCTGCTGCTGCTGCTGCTGCTGCTCTTGCTCTTGCTCTTGCTCTTGCTCTTGCTCTTGCTGTTGCTGTTGCTGTTGCTGTTGCCCTTGCTGTTGCTCTTTTTGTTGCTGTTGCTGCCGCTGGTGGCGCTGTTTCCGGCGCTGCTGCTGCTGCTGCTGCGGTTCGGGGCGCACCAGCTGCTGCAGCAGCAGCAAAGTGGCTGCTTCGTTGCTGCTTTTGCTGCAGCGGCGTGTCTCTGAACGTGGACTTTTCTCCTTCTGGCCAGGCGCCTTTTTGCGACAAGAAAACTGCAGCGCAGCGGCAGCGGGAAGACCGCCACAGGTCTCGCTCGCCGTCTCGCTCCCAGCAGCAGCAGCAGCAGCAGCAGCAGCAGGCCCGCGGCAGTCGGCAGCGGCAGCGGCAGCAGCAGCAGCAGCAGCCCCCAAAGATGGGACCTCTGCACCCCGTGGCCCCCCACATGCGGGGCTCGCCAATGGGGGGCCCCTACGGGGGCCCCGGGGGCCCCGGGGGCCCCGGGGGCCCTGGGGGCCCCGGGGGCCCCGGGGGCCCCGGCTGCCCCCCCCCCTTGTGCAGCATGAGGCCGGGGGCCCCCATGGGGGACAGGTCTTTCTTTGAAATGGGTCCTGGAGGGGGCCGGGGGGGCCCCCTGCCGCTGCGGCGGGGCATGCTGCCTTCGCCAGGGGGGCCCCCCATGCTGCGGCCGGGGGGGGGGCCCCCCACGCCGCTGCTGCTGCAGCGGGAGCGGCTGGAGAGGCCCCTGAGGTACCCTGAAGAGGGGCCCCCCCCGAGGGTACTGCCGCCCCCACACGAGTTTGGGGGCCCCGGGGGGCCCCCCCCCTTCGAGGAGGCCCACAGCAGAAGAGAGCTGTGGGGCCGCAGGGGGCCCCCCGTCTACGCGCATGGGCAGTACCCTCCCAGGAGGGGGCCCCCCCCCTACGCAGATGACCTGGGGGGCCCCTTTGGGGGCCCCTACGGGGGGCCCCCCAGGGAGCGGGACAGAGAGCGGCACAGGGAAAGGGAAAGAAGGTCTTCTGGGGGTTCTCCGGAGGCCCACAAGGAGGGCGACAAGAGCAACTCGAAGAGCAGCAGCAGCAGCAGCAGCAGCAGCAGCAGCAGCAGCAGCAGCAGCAGCGGGGGGGGCGGCATCACCAGCGACTTGCTGTCGCTGCTGCGGCAGCGGCTTCTGAGCGGCGCTGCTGGGGGCCCCGCGAAGGACGAGGCGGGCGAGGACGGCAAGCGCAGCAGCAGCAGCAGCAGCGCAGCAGCAGCAGCAGCAGCGGCGGCGAAGGGCAGCAGCAGCGGCGGAAAAGACCCGCTGCTGCAGCTGCTGCAGTGCGAGCCGCAGCTGCTCGACTGCATGCTGCTAGACATTGCCAGAGAAAGGCTGCAGAAGCAGCTAGGGGACCGCAGCAAGAAGGGGGGCCCCCTTGAGGGGCCCCCCTCCCCGCGCTGCAGCTCTGCTGAGAGGCCCCTGGAGGCCCGGGGCCCCCGGGGGGGCCCCCCGGAGGAAGCAGCAGCACGGCAGCGGGGGGGCACCCCTGAGAGCAGCAGCAGCAGCAGCAAAGCCCGGCGGTCTGCGCGCAGCAGCAGACGCAGCCGCAGCAACTCCAGGGGCGACAAAAGAAGCAAAAGCAGCAGAAGGCGCCGCAGGAGCCGCAGCAACTCCGCAGACTCGCACCCCCGCGAGCGCGGGGCCTGCGAAGACCAGCAGCAGCAGCAGCAGCAGCAGCAGCAGCAGCAGCAGCACAGACACGAGAGGCGCAGCAGGAAGTCGCCCTCCGCAGGACGCACTGGGGGTAAGTCGGGCTGCAAACTCCCGCCTCTCTCCTCCGCCGCCCTCTTGCTGCTGCTGCTGCTGCTGCTGCTGCTGCTGCTTGAGGTGCTGCTGCTGCGCGTGTGTCGGTTTGCTGCAGGCAGCAGCAGCAGCAGGAGAGGCGACAGCCACGCAGAGGGCTGGGCAGAGGCCCGCGGGGACAGCAGCTGGGGAGAAGAGGGGCCCCACAGCTCGAAGCGGCGGCGGGTGGGGGCCCCGTCGAGCAGCAGCAGCAGCAGCAGCAGCAGCAGCAGCGCTGCTGCTGCGCCGCCAGGGCCTGCGGCCGGGGGCCCCGCCCCCAGCGGGGGCCCCAGCAGCAGGGGGGGCCCCCTGGGGGGCCCCCTGGGGGGCCCCCCTGACGTGTGGGGCCCCGAATATGAGAGAGGGAGAGGCAGCAGCAAAGATCGAAATATGCTGCTGGTCTGCCGCGTCTCCAAACAGGGGCAGCACGTCTGCACCATGAGCGCCAAGTTCATCATGGGGGACGCCTCGCTGCAGCCGTGAGGCTGCTGCTGCTGCTGCTGCTGCTGCTGCTGCTGCTGCTGCTGGGGTTGCTGCTGCTGCTGGTCGCGCTGCGGGTGCTGCTGCTGCCGGGCCAGCTGCGCGCCGCGTCAGCGGCTGCAGCTGCTGCTGCGTGGGTTGTAGTGCGGGGCTGGGCGCTGCACATGTTCGCTGCTCTTGCTGCTGCTGCTGCTGCTGCTGCTGCTGCTGCTGCTGCTGCAGGCCTGCGCGTTTGGACGTGAACCAGCGGGCGAACCTGGAGCGGCTGCAGTCGCACTTGGTGCGGGGCGCGTCGGTCGGGCGTGAGGGCGGCTCTGCTGCTGCTGCTGCAGCAGCAGCAGCAGCAGCAGGAGCGCGCTTTTCGGCCTGGCAAATGGGAGCAGACTCAGCAGCAGATAGCAGACACTATGATGCTCTTTGCGACTACTTTATTCAGAAGCAAAGGCTGGGGCTGCGGGAGGGCAGCAGCGCAGCAGTTTACATGGTGCCCCCCAACCCCAAGTACGCCCGCGCCTTGGGGGTGAGTTGCCGCTGCCAGCAGCTGCAGCAGCAGCAGCAGCAGCTGCTGCTGCTGCTGCAGCGCATGGGAGAAGCAGCAGTTTAGATGCGGTTTTTGGGCTCGAGGCACACGCAGAATGGAGAGTTTGTAGCGACAAAAAAGCTGCAGGAGATGCAGCAGCAGACACTTCACATGCTTGCTGCTGGCGAAGCACTTGCTGCTGCTGCTGCTGCGTTTGCTGCTCTCGGTGCTGCTGCTTTGCTGCTGCCGCTGCGCTGGGGGCTCGTGCTGCTGGTGCGTTTGCTGCTGCTGCTGCGTTCTATGTTGGCCCGCCTTTTGACGTGCTGCTGCTGCTGCTGCTGCTGCTGCTGCTGCTGTGCAGCTGCCCGACGCCAATTTTATGTACGCATTTGTCATCTCCAAGTCTCGAGACACAAGAGGCGACTCGCACTACTAGGCAGCACACAGAGATGCCCCCCACCGCAGCCGCAGCAGCAGCAGCTGCAGAAGCTGCAGCAGCAGCTGCAGCAGAAGCTGCAGCAGCAGCTGCAGCAGGAGCTGGAGCAGAAGCTGCAGCGGGAACTGCTGCAAAGCAGCAGCTGCTGTTTAGCGTGGGGGCCTTGACAAGGCCCGACTGGCCGCCGACTCCCCCACGTTGGATGTCTCTACAGCCAGCAGCAGCTCCAGCAGTTGCTGCTGCAGCTGCTGCTGCAGCTGCTGCTGCGGCTGCAGCTGCTGCTGCAGCTGCGGCTGCGTGAGAAGATTTTGTTGGCAGTGCCCTTTTTGGGGCTATGAATGCATGGCCCGGCGTCGGGGTGTACGTACACCCCGGAACTCGGGTGTACGCGCAGCTTTAATTGGGGTGTACAGACACCTTGAGGTGTACGTACACCTCAGCAGCCTGCGCGCATTTGTGGGCCCTCATTTCCGGCTTTAATAAGCACTCGCATTTGCAGTCTTTGCATTTTCGACGAGCTCCAGTAGTACGGAACATTTAATTTAATTTTACTTTATTTCTGCTGCTGCTGCTGCTGCTGCTGCTGCTGCCGCCTGCCCTTGCTGCTGCTGCGGCTGCGAGGCACTTAGAGGTATAAGGGGAGCAGCAGCAGCAGAAAGAAGCAGAGCCCGAGCAGCACACGGAAGAAGCAAAGACATGCAGCAGCAACAGACGCTCCAGGCTGCACAGCTGGCAGCAGCAGCAGCAGCAGCAGCAGCAGCAGCAGCAGGGAGGACAAGGGGGGAGGGGGGTGCAAGCAGTTAGCATGTTTTGTTAAGGGACGCGGATGCCCCCCAGCTCAGCAGCAGCAGCAACAGCGGCAGCAGCAGCAGCAGCGGTGGCAGCGGCAGCAGCAGCAACAGCGGCAGCAGCAGCAGCAGCGGTGGCAGCGGCAGCAGCAGCAAGTTCGGCAGAGGCTTTGGGGGGCAAGGCAGAGAGGGCGTGGCAGGGTAAAAAGGCGCTCAAGCAGCAGCAGCTGCAGCAACCGCAGCAGCAGCTGCAGCAGAGGCGGCAGCAGCGGCGCGAACAGCAAGAAGCTGCGGAAGAGCAGCAGCAGACGAACGCCTGCAAGCAACGAAGAGACTGGAAGCAGCGGAGCAGCAGCAGCTGCAGCAGCAGCTGCAGCAGCAGCTGCAGCAGCAGCTGCAGCAGCAGCTGCAGCAGCAGCTGCTGGCGCTGGGCTCTGTGCAGCTGAGCTGCTGCAGCCTTGGGCATTTAAGCAGTTACAGAAGGCTCGCAGCCTCCCCTAGCCTCGTCTACATTGAATTGGAGACTCAATTTATACTTATTATTATTTTTTAATACTATGCATGCTTTAGTTTATGCAAAAAGATGATTTTTCTCATATTTTGCTGCAGCGCAGCAGCAGCAGAGGGCGTCGCCCAGACTTCAATTCGGCCTCCAGAGCCCAGCAAAGCCCTTTTTAAGGGAAAGTTCCCCACTGAAGCCCTCCAGACTTTTAAATAACTTTAAATTAAACCTTTAGGGGCCATATTTTCTTTTAAATCTGCTGCTGCTGCTGTTGCTGCTGCTGCTGCTGCTGCTGCTGAGATGGCGTCGGCTGCTCATGGACTCGGGCGCGGCAGCGCTAGCTGCTGCGGCTGGCGGGCAAAGTGGCGAGACGGCGACTCTTTTGTGAATTAAAAAACAAAACAAAATAAATTATTTTCAATTTTAAATTCAACAAATATAAAAAAATAACTCAAAGTGCAGGACCAGGGCCCGCGCCCACCCCCCATCACCCCCCCAAGCCACCCCGACCCAGATCACCACCCCCCTGCTGCAGCAGCAGCAGCAGCAGCAGCAGCAGCAGCTAAGCGCCTCCAACTCCGCCTATAGATTTTAATACAGCTAACAAGCACCAGTTAATGCTGCAGGGAGACACACAGCGGCCTTTGCCTGTGTGAGCCCCCCAGCTGCCTCCCGCAGCCTTCGCTGTTCCTCTCTGTCTCAGCCTAAAGAAGCCCCAGCCGCGCTGCTGCTGCTGCTGCTGCTGCTGCTGCTGCTGCATGCGCGGTGCCTTCTTTGGCCTGCAGCCAGGGGAGCGCCTGCCCCACCACCCTCACCACCCCCCGCCCCTGTCTGCCCGCTTTCTGCAGTGGCTAAGGCTGCAGAGGAGTCTCGTGCTGCTGCTGCTGCTGCTGCTGCAGTTGCTTCCACAACCGCAGCAGCGGCTGCTGCAGCTGGCGCTGCAGTCGCTTCCACAGCCGCAGCAGCGGCTGCTGCAGCTGCTGCTGCAGCCGCCTCCTCAGCAGCAGCAGCAGCCGCTGCAGCTGCTGCTGCTGTCGCTGCCGCCGCAGCAGCAGCAGCCCGGCCCAGCAGCCGCGTAGCTCCGGGAGCAGCAGCAACAGGGGGCCCCCAGAATGTGGGTACTGCCTGGGGGCCCCGTGCAGCTGCCCCTGGAGGCGCCGCTAGCTGCTGCAGGGCCAGAGAACTCTTTGCTGCTGCAGAAGCATCCTTGGGATGGGCTGTGGGGCCCAGGGCCCCTGCAGCTCCGTGCCCAGCAGCAGCAGCAGCAGCAGCAGCAGCAGTTCCAGCAGCAGCAGCAGCAGCAGCAGCAGGCACGGAGGCCCCTCGGGGAGTTCTGCTGCTGCGGGCGGCTTATTGCTGCTCCGTTTGAAGTCGAGGCCCCTGAGGGCCGCTGCTTTTCAACAGAAGAAGTAGATTGCACTGTGGCTTCGCTGCAGCAGCAGCAGCAGCAGCACAGGCGTTTGCTGCTGCTGCAGAGCTGCTGCAGCAGCAGCAGCAGCACAGCCAACGGGGGCTTCTCGCCCCTATCTAGCAGCCCGTGGAGCAGCCTGGGGGCCTTCAAAGACCCCCAGCAGTGGCCTCCGGGCCCAGCAGCAGCAGCAGCAGCAGCAGCAGCAGCAGCAAGCACTGCTGCTGCTGCTGCTGCTGCTGCTGCTGCGCCTTCCTACGGCTCTGCCGCGCTCCCCCTGTAAGCTGCTGCCTTTTGACTTTCCTTTTTTCTTGCTGCAGCTTTTTAATTTAATTTAATTTAATTATTTTCTTTTTTCTTTTAATTGACTCTTTTTTCGTTCTTTTTGATTAATTAATTTATTTCCTTTTGCTTCTTTTTCTTATTTTGTCTTTATTTGTTTCATTTCTTTTTTTATTCTTTTTCATTTTTAATTTCAGTCTTTTGCCTTTCTTATTTTCACTTTCTTTATTTGTCGTCTTTTGTTTTATTTTTACTTAAAAATCTTTTTAATTTTTAATTCTTCTTATCTTTCTAATGTTTTATTTTTAATCCTTTAAATCTTTTTGTTTTGTTTTATTTTTTATTTTTTTATTTTATTTTTATTTTATTTTTATTTTATTTTATTTTTTATTTTAAATCTTTTAAATGCTGGTTGCTGCTGCTGCTGCTGCTGCCAGTGCCGGACTTTGCTGCATTTCGATCATTTTTGGTCCATTTTTTTCGTTTTTTTCCGCAATTTTCTCCAAATAAATCTCCACTTCAACCATTTAATTCTTTTTAATTCTTTTTATTCCCTTTTAGTTCTTTTAATTTCTTTTTTTGCTTCATTTTGCGCACTTTTCCCTTTTTGCTGCTGCCCCTGCCCTTAGGGCCCCCCAGCTGCCCCCGCCCCTGGACCCTTTTCTCTGCGCGGCCCTGGCCTCCGAGAGGGGCCCCCTGTGGGGGCCCCCTGGGGGCCCCCCCCTGTGGGGGGCCCCCCCGGGGGGGCCCCTGTGGGGCCCCCCGGGGGGCCCCCAGGGGGGCCCCCAGGGGCCCCTGCGCTCGCTTGACCTGCCCGAGGCGCTGCAGCACCGCAGGCTGCAGCAACCCATGGACTGGGGGCCCCTCTCTAGTCGATTTGTTACTTCTTTAGTTTCTACAGTTTATGTTGCTGCAACAGACCCCACATGTGCCCCTATAGGGGAGCCCACGGCCCTGTGGCCGGCGTCTCCGGCGCAGCAGCAGCAGCAGCAGCTGCAGCAGGAGCCGCAGCAGCAGCAGCAGCTGCAGCAGCAGCTCATGCAGCAGCAGCTGCTGCTCGTGGGCGACGGAGACCTGCGGCCCATGGACACCCCGAGGTTCCTCGAAGGGGCCCTGGGCGCTGCTGCTGCTGCTGCTGCTGCTGCGGACTTCGGGGGGCCCCCTGCTGCGCTGCTGTCCCCAGCCACAGAGGCGGAGGGGGGCCCCCGTGCTGCGCAGCAAGAAGACCCTAGGGGCCCCCTGCCCTGCCGCAGCAGCGTGACTTGTGTGCAGTTTGCTGCAGCAGACGAGGCGCTGCTGGCTCTGGGGTTTGAGTCGGGGGCCCTGGAGCTGTGGCTGCTGCCGCCCGTGCAGGGAGCAGCAGCAGCAGCAGCAGCAGCAGCTGTGGGGCCCCCCGAGGCAGGGGGCCTCTGCTCGCCTTTAGCTGCTAGCCGCTGCGTTGCTGCTGCTGCTGCTCACTCGCCTGGGGCAGCTCCCTGCGGCACGGAGCAGCGCAGCGCGCTTCTCGAGGCCCTCGCGGCCTTCCAGCAGCAGCCGCAGCAGCAGCAGCAGCAGCAGCAGCAGCAGCAGCAGCACTGCAGCAACTGGGAGGGCCTCAAAGGCTCCCCCGAAGTCTCTGCCCTCAGCTGGCACCCCAAAGAGCTGCTGCTGGCAGCAGCGCATGCAGATGGCCGCGTGGAGTTGTGGGAAGTGCAAGTGCAGCGCAGCTGGGCCTCCCCGCCCCACGCAGCAGCAGCAGCAGCAGCAGCAGCAGCAGCAGCAGCAGCTGGAGAGGCCCGAGTGACCCTGCAGCACCTGCACTCCTTCCTCTTCGCCTGCCCGCTCTTGGGGCCCTCTCTGCTGGTCCAAAGCGCCCTGGGGCCCCTCCCAGGGGGGCCCCCCGAGGCAGCAGCAAGGGGGCCCCCCGAAGCAGCAGCAGGGGGGCCCCCGGGGGCCTCCCACGCTGTGCTGCACTCCCCCTGCTGCTTAGTGTGGGGCCCCGAGGGCGACAGCTTGGCTGTTGGCAGCAGAGAGGGGGCCCTTCTTTTGTGGTCTTTGGGGGCCCTCAGGCAGTACTACAGGGCTGCTGCAGCTGCCCACAGCAGCAGGGGCCCCCTGGGGGGCCCCCCCGGGGGCCCCCTGGGGGGCCCCCCGGGGGCACCCCACCCGCAGGACCCTCTTCCGGGGCCCTTCAGGGGGCCCCTCTCCCACCTGCAGCAGCTGCAGGGCGATGAGGGGGGAGTGGGGGCCCCCAGGTTGGGGGGGGCCCCCCCGGCCCTGGGGGCCCCGGGGGCCCCCGAGGCCCCGGAGGCCCCGGAGGCCCTAGAAGAAATGGGGGCCCCCGGGGGCCCCCTGCAGGGCCCCAAGGGGCCCCGGATGAGAGATGGGTCTTCTCTGAAGACCCTCAGCACTGCCTCTACGCAGCCCTCCAGCAATTCGCCCCCGGACACCCCGCTGGGCAGAGACGCGCAGCAGCAGCAGCAGCAGCAGCAGCAGCAGCAGCAGCAGCAGCTTGAGGGCAGCACAGGCTGCTCCGAAGGTAGCGCGGACGAGGGGGGGCCCCCAAGGCCTCCCAGCGCCCTCAAGGGGCCCCCCCCTGACCTGGGGGGCCCCGCTGCAGCTGCAGCAGACCCTCTGGGGCTGCTGCAGAGCTTTTTGCCCCTCTTTGGGGGCCCCAAGCTGCTCCTCTATGAGCCTGAGGGGGCCCCTGGCAGCTTCCCGAGGGGCTGCAGCGAAGGCGGGGGGGCCCCGGGGGCCCCTGGGGCCCCCGGGGCCCCCGGGGCTCCCGGGGCCCCCGGGGCCCCAGGGGCCCCCGGGGCCCCCGGGGCCCCAGGGGCCCCAGGGGCCCCCAAGGCCCTTGTTTGTGGGTCTTGGCAGCTGGGAGTTTCTTCTTTTGTCTTGGGGGCCCATGGGGGTCGAGTTCGTTGTTTGTCTTTTTGCATGCATGACCCCCGGGTGCTGCTGTCTTCTGGGGACACTGCAGCAGCAGCGCGAAGCCCGGGAGCAGCAGCAAGCTGCAGCAGCAGCAGCAGCAGCAGCTGCGGCAGCAGCAGGCTCAAGGCCTGGATCAGAGATGCCAGCGCTATCCACCCGACTCCGCTTCTGGATATTTACATGGAAGGAATTGTAAGTTTTTCCTTATCATTTGGGGCCCCCTTGGGTACACGGGGGCCCTTGGAGGGGGGCCCCCAGGGGCCCCTGGGGGCCCCCAGGGGCCCCATTCCAGGCCCCTTGGGGCCCTCTAGTCAGGCACAAAGGGGCCCTGGGGGCCCCCTGTACCCTCAAGCTTCAAGTCTGTAAATGAAGAAACTTCCTGTTTGCACTGGAGGGCCCCTGGGGGCCCCCGAGGGGCCCCATGGGGGCATTTCTCTATGAAGAGTGGGGCCAAAGGGGCCCCCCGGGTTGCAGGCTGGGGGCCCCTGGGGGCCCCCAGCCTGCCCCTGGGGGCCCCTTTTGGAGGCAAGGGAAATGGGGTACAGTGGGGCCCCCAAGCTGCGCGGGGGGCCCCTGGGGGCCCCTGGGGGCCCCTCTTTCAAGCTAGGGGCAGCACTTTTGTGTGAGTTTCTGCGCAGACCACTTCTATGCTCTGGAGCAAATTTACCGGAGACCTGCTGCTTTCCCACAGCTGGCGGAGGCCCTGCGGGGGCCCCGAGGGGGCCCCCCTGGGGGCCCCCCAGGGGGGCCCCCAGGGGCCCCCAAGGAGGGGCAGGTCTTTGGGGCATAAGGGCCGCGGGGGCGTCACTGTGTGGTGCTACTTAGGAGACGGCGGACAAGCCCTGCTGGAATCGCAGCAGCAGCAGCAGCAGCAGCAGCGGCAGCAGCAGCGGGCGGGCAGGAGAGGGTTCGGGGGGGACTGGGGGCCCTCAGGGGGCCCCCCGGGGGCCCCCGACTGCTCGGCGCTGCTGCAGCCGCTGCTGCTGAAAGTTGGGGGTTTTGGCGAGCGGCCTGTGCGGCGGGACAGCAGCGGCAGAAGCAGCAGCAGCAGCAACCCTCTGAGCCCCACAGCAGCAGCAGCAGCAGCAGCAGACTCAGGGCTGCCGGGGGCCCCCCCGCTGCCCCCTGCGGGGCCCCGAGGGCCCCCTCGGAGCCGCCTGAGCCCCTACGGGGTTTCCCCCCACTTAGGCTCTCTCTACGGGGGCTGGGGGGGCCCCCCGGGAGGCCGGGGCAGGGCCTCCGCGGGGGCCCCCTGGGGGCCCCTGGGGGGGCCCCTCGGGGGGCCCCTCGGGGGGCCCCTCGGGGGCCCCCTGGGGGGGCCCCGGGGGGCCCCCCAGACCCAAGAGTACCCTGAGGCCCAGCCCTCAGGGGGCTACACAGACACAGACAACGCCGCTAGTTTAGTGCAGAGTGCAGATGGCCGAGTGGTAGCGTACTGGTCGCTCCCCGCTGAGACAATAGCTGTGTGGGCCCTAGGGTCCAAGAGGGGGCCCCCGGGGGCCCCCCAGGGGGCCCCGCCGGGGGCCCCCCGGGGGGCCCCCCGGGGGGCCCCCAGGGGCGGCGGCGCGGGGGCCCCCTCGGGGGGCCCCCTGGACTGGCTCTCAGAGCCAGAGGGGGACTGGTGAGCAGCAGGAGCAGCAAAAGGGCAACACAACAACCCCACCAATTGCCCCTTGGGGGCCCCCTGGGGGCCCCCAGGGGCCCCCAGGGCTTGGCCCGTAGCTTTTCTCTTTCGAGTTTTTGCCGTTTGTTTAGAAAGGGGTAAACCCCTGAGGACTTTTGTTTATTTAATTGGATTTGAGAAGACAGCAGGTTGGGTCGCGGGCCTGCAGCCAGGTGTACGTACACCTCGTTTTTCGGGTGTATGCATGCGCTTGCTGTTAAAGGAACATGTAGATGGACTTATTAATCATTAAATGACTCAAAAGTTTCTGCTCTTCTAGAAAATGCTTCTTAGTTGATTACTTCTCGATGCATGCGGCCCTGCTCAGAGCCGCGGCAGACAGCAGCCAACTGGCTAGCTAGCTGGTTAGCTAGCTGGCTAGCTAGCTGGTTAGCTAGCCAGTTAGCTAGCCAGTTAGCTGGCTAGTTAGCTAGCTAGATAGCTAGCTGGTTAGCTAACTGGATAGCTAGCTGCCTAGCCAGCTGCCTAGCTAGCTAACTGGCTAGCTGGCCCGCTAGCTGGCTGGCCCGCTAGCTGGCTGGCTGGGCAGCTAGCTGGCTGGCTAAATGGGTGCCTAGGCAGCTAGCTGGCTGGTTAGCTAGCTACTTGGCTGGCTAGCTGGCTGGCTAGCTGGCTGGCTAGCTGCTTCAGTAGTTTTCTAGGGTAGAGGCCCACGGCCAAAAGCAGTCACCGACACGGGAAAAGATGCAGCTGGCAGCAGCAGCAGCAGCAGCAGCACAGAGAAGGCGCAGCAGCAGCAGCAGCAAACAGAAGGCGCAGCAGAAGCAGCACTGCAGCAGCAGCAGACAATACGCGCTGCAGCAGCAGCAAACAACACTACTGAGTTGCTGCTGAGCCACTTGTGGGGCCCCCGTGGACCCTACAGGGGCCCCCGTAGCTCTTGCGGCTGGAGGCGCTGCTGCAGTAAAGTGCCCCAGCAGCGGTTGCATGCGTTGCTGCAGCAGCAGCAGCCAGAGCTGCTGCTGCTGCTGCTGCTGCTGCTGCTGCTGCAGGGCGCTGCCTCGGTTGCGAGTCAAGGCCTGCGCGTTGCTGCCAAAGGGCTCTGCAGTCTCGAAGCCGCCAAACCCTAAACCCTCGCCTCAAACCCTAAGCCCTCGCCCCAAACCCTAAACCCTCGCCCTAGTTTCTAAACCCCAAACCCTAAACCCTCGCCCTAGTTTCTAAACCCCAAACCCTAAATTGCAGCCCTAAACCCTCACTGTGAACCCTTAACCCTAACCTCAAACTTTAAGCCGAAGGAGACTGCGCTGCTGCTGCTGCAGCAGCAAAAGCTGCTGCCCTAGGACTCAACCAGCAAGGAGAGCCGCAGCAGCAAGACGCGTGTCTTGTCTGTGGTCGAGCAGCAGCAGCTGTGTGCGCTGCTGCTGCTGCTGCTGCTGCTGCTGCTGAGTCTGGCGTTTGAGTCGGTGCTGCTTTCCCGAGCCTCAGGGTCCTGTCATTCCGGCTCTCTGACCCACTGCAGCAGCAGCAGCAACGATCGTGTCCGAAGCAAGCAGCAGCAGCAGCAGCAACAGCAGCACGGCGGCGGCAGCAGATCTAGTAGCAGCAGCAGGAACGAAGTTGACAAATCAGCCGCACAAGAAACTTCCTGCAGAGAAATACAACAACTTACGTAACAGGGTTAGCTATTTAGCAGCAGCGGTAGCACCGCTGCTACAGCAGCAGCAGCAGCAGCAGCAGAGCTGCAGCTGCAGCAGCAGCAGCCTTCTGCTCGGGGCAAATGCGCAGCTGCTTCTATAGGAAGCACCCCACGCAATCGAAACCAAAAGTAAAGCAAAAGCAGAAGCTAAAATTTGCCCTGGGTGTGTGGAGCTTTAAAGAGTTTGCACATAGCAGCAGCAGCTGCAGCAGCAGCTGCAGCAGCAGCAGCGGGAGACTCTGGTGACACTGAGTAAAGCCAGTAGGCTTCTCTCGATCTAGGCGCCCTTTGCTGCTAAATTTCATTACAAAACCCTTGATATTACGGAGATTTAAAGTCTAAGCCTCAAACCCTAAACCCTAAACCCTAAACTGCAGACCCTGGAGGCTGCTTGCTGCTGCGGCCGCCCGCCACTGTCCAGCATTCTTCGCTGAGGCTGAGGAACTTTGTGTGTCTTGTGTCCAAGCTATGTGCATGTAGCAGCAGCAGCAGCAGCAGCAGCAGCTGCAGCCGTTAGGAGCCCCTTCGCCCAAGCAGCGCAGCAGCAGCCGCTCCCGCTGCTGCTGCTGCTGCTCGTATGCAGTTGACCTGCTGCAATGCAGCACAAGAAGACAAACACAGCCAGAAGCAGCAAGAGGAGCAAGCAGCACCAAGTTCGGATTGTTAGCTAGCTCAGCAGCAGCAGCAGCAGCAGGCCGGGAAACGCGGGCGAACTCCAGCCATCGCAGCAGCAGCAGCAGCAGCAGCAGCTTCACGACGTAGGAATGCCACCGTACACAGCAACAGCAGCTGCGCCCCTGCGATGAGCGCTGCAGGCCACGCGCCCAGCCTGCAGCAGCAGCAGCAGCAGCAGCAGCAGCCTCATGGGCAGCAGTTCAGCGAGCAGCAGAAGAGGCTGCTGCGAGAGTTGCTGCAGCGCCACGTCATAGTAGGGCCTCGAACTACCAGCAGAGCCTGTGCGCAGAAGGACGGGCAGCAGCAGCAGCAGCAGCAGCAGCAGCAGCAGCAGCAGCAATGGGTTGTATCGTACAGGGCCCTGGTCGTCCCGAGCAGCCTTGTGCGTGAAGATACCTGCAGCAGCAGCCACACGCTGCTGCTGCAGGTTGCCGCTGCAGCAGAAAACGAAGAGGAAGAGGGGCAGCAGGCACAGCAGCAGCAGCAACACCAGCAGCAGCAGCAGCAGCAGCAGCAGCAGCAGTGGCGCCTGTTTCCTTTGAACTATGGCGCGCAGGCTTCCCCACTGCCACAGTGGGGCTGCTGCAGCTGCTTCCAGCGGGCCCTTCTGGGGTCGTCTCCCGCTGCTGCTGCTGCTGCTGCTGCTGCTGCTGTCGAGACAGTAGCGACGCAGCCCGACACCCCAGATGACGCGTTTGGCCCAGCAAAGCTGGGGGCAGCAGCAGCAGCAGCAGCAGCAGCAGCAGCAGCAGAGGAAGATGCTGACTTTAGCAGCCAAGGCTCTCTACCGCTGAAGCTGCTGCCGCTGCCGCCCCAGCAGCACGGGGGCCTGCAGCCTGCGTGTGCAAAGCAGCAGCAGCTGCAGCTGCAGCAGCTGCAGCAGCAGCAGCTGCAGCAGCTGTACCTGCACTGGGGCTTCACTGCAGCAGACGGCCGCAGCTGGAGAGAGCCTCCTTCTTCTTGTGCTTCTCCCCATTGCATAAGGGCCCCAGCGAAGGCTGCGCTGCAGTCGCCCATGCATGTTTGCTGCTGCTGCTGCTGCTTCTGCTGCGCTGCTCTCGTAGGCAGAGCTGTCGGCGGCAGCAGCAGCAGCAACAGCAGCAGGGGCAGCACGGGCGCAGAGCAAACAAACAAGAGTGTTTGCAGCTGCTCGACCTGCAGCAACAGCAGCAGCACCAGTGGCGCCTCGCTTGAAAGTGCTGCTGCTGCTACAGAGGCGAACCTCAGCAGCAGCAGCAGCAGCAGCAGCGGCAGCAAAAGCTGCGCAGGCAGCGAGAACATGCGAGACACTCCTATCTACTGTGCTTTTGTGCGGCTAGGGTGTCCTGTCGGGGTCTCTGTGGACCCCTTGGGCCAGGAGCAGCAGCAGCAGCAGCAGCAGCAGCAGCAGCAGCAGCAAGAGCTGCAGGGGGAAGGGCAGGGCACCGTCGAGTTTGTGCTGCACAGCTCAGCTAGCGGCTGGTTGAAGGCAGCCACAAATGTGAATTTCTCGGTGGACTGTGTTGCTGCAGCAGCAGCAGCAGAAGCAGCGGCCTTCCAGCAAGCCGCGCTGCTGCTGCTACGTCTGCAGCAGCAGCAGCTGCAGCTGCAGCTGCAGCAGCAGCCCGCGCTAGCAGCGCCTCTGCTGCTGCGGTTGCGGTGCCTGGATGTCTTTGATGCGGCAGCAGAAACAGCAGCAGCAAAAAGACAGTGCTTGATCACAACATGGCTAGTGGGGCGTTGGCTGGCTGTGGATCTTATCGTCGACAAGCAATCAGCAGCAGCAGCAGCAGCAGCAGCAGCAGCAGCAGCAGCAGCAGCAGAAGGCCCGACTGCTGCGTATTTGGTGCAGCTTGAAATGGGCGGGCTGCTGAGGGAGTGCCCCACAAAGCCTCTCTTAGGGGGGAGGCCTCCAGTGCACTGTGTGGTGCCAGCAGCAGCAGTACCAGAGGCAGCAACAGCAGCAGCAGCAGCAGCAGACACAGCAACAAATGCCGCCGCGGGCTCAGCTGCAGGGCTTGCTGCAGGCCTTGCAGCAGCGCTGCAGCAGGCAGCAGCAGAACAGACGGCAGAACTGGCTGCGCTGCCGTGCATAGGCTCAGGCTGCTCAAGTCTGCTGCGGCTGCGACTCCTGCTGCCGCTGCAGCAGCAGCAGCAGCTGCTCTCCATTAGACTTCTGTGCAGCTTAGGAGCACCTCTTTCCTTCTCTATTCAGCGCATTGTGCCGCCATTTAGTGCTGCAGAAATGCAGCAACAGCAGCAGCTAGCCCAGGAGCAGCAGCAGCAGCAGCAGCAGCAGCAGCAGCCAGTAGACGGGCAGGCAGAGACACGCATAGTATTGTTCGAGCTGCAGCAGCCGCCGCAGGAGCAGCAGCAGCAGTGTGGGGCTAGGCGCGGCTCAGGCCTCGCTGATAAGGGCATTAACGTCTGCAGGGGCGTTGGTGCTGCAGCAGCAGCAGAAACAGCAGCAATGATGGCAGATGCTGCTGCTGCAGCCTCTGGCCTGGAATGCGCAGCAGCTGCAACGGACAGGGAGGTGGAGATCCCAGAGGAGTGCCCCACAGACACAGTAGTGACAGCAGCACTAGCAGCAGCAGCAGCAGCAGCAGCAGACACGGCCGCTGCAGCAGCACGCGCTGTTGCGGGAA